CGACTGATAAGTTACAGTAGCTACAGAAGGCTTTAAGCTTTAGATCATTTCAAGCACGTTGGCCGCTGTGTGCAGCATACAGTGGCAGAAGCATGAGAAGCACAGATGTCTCAAGTGTCTCAACATTGTGGTTTTATTGTAGAGTCTGGCTGGCCTTGTACATCATCACTTTCATTTGTGTACTGAAGACAGTGCGGGCCTGTCTGGCTCTCTCTAGGAGCAGGGATGGCAATTGGTCTTAAAAATAAGAAGTGATTTCATTGCAGTGAATTTTTTCCAGGCTGAGATTAAATCACACCTGTACATTTCTCTCTAAACATGTTGCTCTGGTGCTTAGGTCCACACAGTCAGAAGCCAACTTTTCATCTCATCAGCAGAAGACACAAGATTGCATTGCTGTGTGTTTATCCATAGAAACCCTTTGGTGGAAGAGTCCATGGTCTGATGTGTCTCCTATAGGTGGATACTTCAGGTCCTGTGCTGACAACAGTGTGAAGGCTGTAAACTGTAAAGGAGAGATGTAAGTACCATAATCTACCCTTGGGCCTGAAACCTGATCTTTCAGGAGGCAGAGATCTCTGTACTGCCCAAGGAATGGGTGGCACAAAGAGTGCTATACATAGTGAAAAACAAATTGCTCCACATTTTCTTGATAAACAGATGCTATTGGACTAAAAATGGAAACGTAATCACCACTTTTATGGGGTTAATGTTTTCAAAACAGGAAACCAGGGTTGAGTGCTCAGTGCAGCCCGACTGCAGAGTCTGGTCGGCTCTCCAATCCTGGCTTGGTTCCACGCAGATTAGGATCTGAAGCATCAGAGAGTCAAAGGAGATGCCAAAACATTCCATTGCGTCTGACTGGCTCTGCTGGTACAGCACTGCAGACAGGAGTCTGATGGCTCTGGCCCTTTTGTGAAAGAAACAGAGCAACACCACCCCAATGGCTCTCACAGTGCCCACTGGTCTGAGCAAGCTGCTATGAAAAGTCATTGTTTTTTCTGCCAGAAAGCAAACGTCAAACAAATGTACTGAGAACACACAAGACTTTCTAGACCTACTCCAGCCACAGTAACACGGTGGGGGCTGGTACAGAAAACACAGGTGGGAATCTGGAAGGTGTTTCTTAATGTCCTCAGTCCTTAAATCCAGTTTAAAGAGTCATTGAAAGGTAGGAGGAGCCTGTAACAAAACTGTTAATTACGAAATGGGATTTCCTGGCTTTTCCTTTCTATCAGTATATTATTTCTATTACCAACCACTGATCAGTTTTACTTTCTGCATATCATATTTGAAGGGCATTTGTTGTTGATTGCAGCTTTATCTAATGTGCATTATACAGAATAAATAGTAAATACTCCAGGATCAGACAAATATTGTTCCTTACAATGACAGATCTAATCCCGGAAATTCCACACCTGCCTGAATCAGAACATCTTCTAGTCCTGCTGGGGGAGGAAACTCAACAGAAGCTGCAGCCCAGTATAATCCTGTCAAGCCAAGGGAACACAGAGTGAGTCTCTCAAATAAAACTTATATTTTTGTTCTAAATATCTAAAACTAGTAATATATTTTCTGTAATTGTTTTACTAATTATTATTGCTTTAGCTAATTTGATTGTACAAAGGAATAATCATCCACAAGAAATGAATAACATAAGATCTTTTTTTTTTACAACCTTCTTAATGCAAGGTCAGACAAGTCTTTTGATAGTTGTGCATCTCAGTGGACAGCCGATCTCTGTAGGGTCAGAGGACATAGACTGGGACATCGTGTGGCATAATGTTAGTTATCCATTTAGAGCTATACATAGCAAACTGCTTCAGTACAGAATTTTAAACAGACTGTTATACCCCAGAGAATTTGAAAAAGATTAATAATACAGGAATTTGTTCAAAATGTAACACACATAAAGGATCACTATTGCACTTAATATGGTATACAGTCATTCTGGACCTCCACAATGGGGACAGCTCTACGGTACCTAAATAACTCAATTCCGCTTACTCCCATTATATGTATCCTTGGTGATTTATCAAAGGTTAAAGTAGCAATTCAATATAAAAATACTTTTTTGACTCTCTGTATTATTTCTAAAAAAATAATATTGCGAAAATGGGTGGACAGTACAGGACTGTTGCACAAAGAATGGATTAAAAAGGCTGTAAGTTAAATTTGAAAATATTTAATATAATTTAGTGGGGAAACTTAATGGGTATAGGAATGTTTGGGGCCCATTAGAGACATACTTGAATGGCACTGGATGTTAAGAATATTAGTAGGAAGTTTTTGAATTAATATTTTTTGTGAACATTATTTTTGTTATTGTCTAATAAGAACAGAAATGAGAGAGTGAAAAAAAGGAAGTCCTCCAAAGTTGGGGGGGTGGAGGTGGGTTTAAAAAAAAAGGTCTTTAAATTGCATTTCATCATGTCCTTGGTGCACAGGGTGTGAATGGAGATGGAGGGTATAAACACAACAACCTGGTTCCTTTTCTGGTCTGACTGTTAGGGTCCTTCTTCTCTCCACCGGGCACCTGCTCCTGTGCCTTCGGATCACAGAGGGCAGCCTGCCCCTGCTGTGATTCTGCCCTGGGGATCTCCCTTCTGGCAGCTTGGGGGAAGCCTGCACGCTAAATTTAAAACTCCTCTTTTGGAAAACAGCTTTCATGCAGCTGACTGTAACTGGAGCACAGCTGGGTCAAGGACATCAATGTTTCTAAGGATGCTCTGTGATGTAGGAGCAACAGTAGGGAGCTGCATATTGGATTGTGATTAAATGCTTAAATTGAACTTGCTGTCTCTCCATTTGCCTGTGTGTTTACCTGATTTTCACTTCAGTGGCCCTGCCTGGTGAGCATTCAGGTCTGCTCGGTCAAACTGACCCCCCAATCCAGAAGAATAGCAACACCTTTCCCAATCCTGCGCCTTGTTTCTCAACAGGGAGCCATGATCTTGATATGGTTTCACACGGAGCACAGATGGGAAGACAGGGTTAACACAGAGAAAGGTAAAGGGCAAATAAAACATAGACTCAGGCAAAACCATGTGAAAAAACTAAATAGAAGCAAAAAGAAATTTGGCTTCCTTTTTTGTTAAGTTTGGAAGTTAGGAAAGCAGTTTTGTGCTTTACAACACATCTGTACAGCTGTATTAGAGCGAGAAAATGTGTAGTTTCCTTTTGCAACACACAGCCAATCCAGAGTCAGACAGCTGCTAAGGTTCCCCTGTCTCAGTCCAGGACAGGATTTCCTGTACTCCATAGCAACAGACTGGGATTCCTGGCATGATCAGACACACAAATAGATATTTCCATAAATCCAAGAATAAATTCAGCAAAACAATGCACCATTTGTATTCTTTCACACCTTTATTTATAGTACAGTTTTTTTTTTTTTAAAAGATAGCTGTTAGATAGCTCTAGCATCTTTTCTCCTCCACAGCGTCCTTTAATCCTAAGGTTTCTGGTGGTTCATTTTCAGCCTGCCTGAAGGGCTGCAGATTTCTGTTGAATCCTGTTTACTTACAGTCCAGTCAGTGCCTGAAGCAGGAAGTGTGGATCCTAGCTGAGCAAGGCAGCGCTCGTCAGCTTAGAGATCTCTCTCATGTGCTGGTCGACAGTCTGTATGAGAGTCTGGATCTGTACGAGAGACAGGATCAGCAGCATAGGCAGGGACTGGACAAATAAGCCGGACAGTTCCTAATTGAACAGGATCTCCAGCACAGAGGGTATTTACAGAAGACAAAGATAGCATTCCGGTATGTAAAACGCCTAGAGGAAAAGCAAACATTGCTGTTGACTTAATGCATTAAACCAAATGTAATAAGGAGAGCAGTGCCAACCCAGCTCTCCTGCAGTGTTCCAGGTCTAGAGTCCTGGTCTACTGGGGCTCTTTTAGGCCTCTGTTTCCCTGCTGCATTCCTCCTTGCTTAGGTTGTGTGGCAGAATGACCTTGCAAAGCAAGTTGAAATAAACAGACACAAATTAAGAGCAAAATAACCCGGTTTTACTATTTCCAGATTTTGGAGGTTTGATTTAAATCTAGATTGACCCAATGTACAATATGTTTAATCACATGTTCCAAAAGAAATGCTGTGGTCTGATAATCTAGTTTGTAGGAAATGTTCAGATCAATAGCAGCTCAGGACATGGACTCTGCCGGAATTTTCCAAAATTGAATTGATTTCAATGTGTATTGTGGAGCAAAACAGGTTGTGGCACTCAAATTAAACATCAGAGTTGCCTTTTAAAAGGTGAACTGAGGGAATTATTGTATTGGAATCCTGCAGCAGCTTTATTGTATGAACAAAGCTGCATTTTCACTGTTCCAGGTCTTAAATTGCCAAACACAGTACAGTTTCTATGAAACCTGCAGGACCTTTACAAACATTGACCCAATGTGTGTTCAAGCACATGATCTGAAAGTAATGCTGTGAGCTGAATTAACCCAGTCTGTAGGAAATGTTCAAGTCAGTAGCAACTCAGGACCAGAGATCAGAGATCCATGTTCTTCTCTCTCCAGCTCGGTGAATGGTAATCCTTGCAGGAAAGAGTACAGCAGACTGTGTGAAAGTATGGCTCGTATAACAACTCAACAGAGCGACACAAAGTCTTCACTCACCATCAGCACACTTGAGCTGCTGAAGAACAGCCACGTAGCTTTAGCCTCGTGTGCCATTACATTCTGGAGATCGTCGAACACTGCCCTCTGATGATAAGAAATTAAGTTGCAGCTTCATCTGTTTACATTACAATATCTGCACTTTAAAAAAATTGCTACAGCACGTACCTACTTAGTAGACGTTCCCATGTAGAAGGCTGTAATGGTGTATTGATGATATACAAAAAAAAATACTGTGTGAAAAAATAATTAATTGCACATTCAAGGCATAATCTGTTTCAGAAACGTCTACTTTTTAACACTTAAACTCACAAGAGTGTTTTAAGAATCCAAGCGACGCTGAGTCTCCGTGTCCGTGTGATAAAGACTCGTGCACAGATCAGAATGGCTAGAGTCCTTTATTTAAGTGTTTTCAGTATAACAAGTTTCTTCATAAAACGAACAACTCCAGCCATTCTGTGGGAGAAATCACATCTAAAGAGTCTGAAAGTTTTTTCTCTATTAGAAACAGTTATAAAAAACATAATTTTCACTTGCCCTCCGATGAGATACTGACATTCTATGACAGTTTCTGTAATACATTTTTTTTATTATTGCTTCGTTTTTATTAGTGTGACAAGATTAAACATTTTGGTCCCTTACAAAGTGTCGCTTCCACAGGTAAATAAGCTTGGTACTATCTGAAGAATTCAACACCACGCAATTGTAAAACTACAAAACAAATTAATGCATATCTATCCCAGACACGGCCCCGTACGCTGTGCATAGAGATGACCGGACACGAGGAGCTGGGTGAGGGCACATGCGCCTGTCCGAGGCGGAACCGAGGGGAGAAAGTCTCAAAACGCCTTAGAGCAGTTACAGTACAGGAGGGTGTAGGCACATAGGACTTCCAAACCCGTCTGTCTGCATCGCGGGTGATGTGGGATGGTACATTCCTTCGCGGTCCTCGCGTTACAACACGCGCCGTTCTGTACGAAAACAATACGGGACGGCCAATTGCTTTCCCTTTTCGACCCCCCAGTTTCGGAATCGACTGTTGCTCCTGAGCTCGGATGACGACGCCGTCACGGTCCAACGTGGGGTCCCCACGCCGCGCTTCTAACGGCGGACAGATACAGCTCTTAGAACAACGGTGCTGGCAGGAGTGTGGCCACGCCACAGAGGGGCGCTGTTTCCCAGCTGGCTGAGGAACTGTGGACTACAGGACCCTGTTTGCGTGCAGAACAGAGGTTTTTAAAATTTATGTGGACGCCAACACTGAAGAGCGGTTTTCTAACTCCTGGCAGGACTTTCTCATGCTGCCAGGATGCCCTTTCCCCGTCACCGCACCAGAGACTGCAGTCCTCCCAGCTCCTAGCCTCCTGAGGAGTGGAGGGCTGGATTCCTGAGCCGCCAAGTGCCAAACTCTTGTAGGCTCCTGAAAAATCAGCACATTGTTTTTCCCTGCAGCTCAACGTCGCCATGCTGTTGCGACTGTGCTCAGCAGGATGCCTTACAGGCTGCTGGGGCCGCGGTCGCGTGGCAGAGCCCCTGGGGGAAAACACACATCGACTGGATTCCCACAGTTACCAGTCAAACAGCAGCGCGAGAGGAAGGTGTAAGCATGGCTTTGTTTCACGTGTTTTGAAAAGGACTGCGGGGACAATAAGAGACAGAGGACAGTTTCACCAAGCTCCTCCAGTTAGCAGCCCTCTAGCTTACAAATACGACCTGAAGACATTCAGATGGCTGAAAGATGAAATGTTTCCTTTGCATCCGTTCTGAATTCTTTAATACTATTGAGCTTGATTTAGCAGGTCTGCCACCTGGAAGCCTTTTGCAAAACTGGCACAGAATTTCTTCACAACCCCCCAGCACATGGGAGACACACAAACGAAGCTGCCCGCTGGACAAGACAGAAAGGGAGAAGAGGCTGGGAGGTTCAGGACAGGGAAGGCTGGTCATGTAAACACAGAGGCAGCTGTGCAGGTGCTGTGGAGACTGACCACGGCCCCCAAAGCTCCTGCTCAGCCCTAAACTGCACCAGCCTGCGCCCTCAGTTGGTCTTCAGCAGCTCAATGCAGTTTTGTAGGAGAGACATGTTGCTCTGGAAATAAAAGCAGCACAGAGAATACTAAGCGTGACTTCTGTACGTTATGCTCTGCTTCCAATTCTCTAAAATCTTAAATTATTTTTACAGAGCAAAGATAAGAAAAAACACAGAGCTAAGAAAAAACAATTGGAATAAGAAACAATGAGAATTTAAGTTATATTTAGCATTAATTTGACCTAGATTTTAAATGTGCACACTTTCACTGCAATGAGAACTTACTTTGGCATGTTTGATTTCTAACTCGGCCATTTCTATGAGATTCTTGCGAAAAGCCACCACTCTGCGTGCCTTAAAGGTTGTTAGTTCTGTAAAACGACAAAACAAGGATTTTTATCTGCACAACACGCTGGGTTTTCTCATCTTTCACTGGCATTTTCCGTTTCTCCACCCTGGACAAGAGAGCCCAGGGCCTATGGAGAGAAATGAGAGAGAATCACACGACAGGCTCTATTCTTCCTACCAAAACGTACACACTGCAGGCTCTTATTCATCCACAACTGTGGGAACAAATGCAAAGAAACTAATCTGTCCTAAAATAGAATGTGCTTCTGGAAAATCTTATCATCTCCCAGTTCCTGTTCCTTTAACAGTGTATTTTTCACTGCATGGTCAGCACTACCCCACTGCTGCTGTAGCTCTGGATGTTTCTGTGCTTGGAGCACCACAGCTCACACCTCACATAGCATAGCAGTTCATCCCAGCTGTGATGCTTAACCACTCTGGGTTAGAAGATAAAACCATGCAGAGCTGACTGTGGCATGGGGTAGGAAAACTACTTCAAAACCCAGTAATGACTGGAGGTCAACATCTGGGATAAGAGTGGGCCACCCTGCCACTTTAAAGTGGCAGTATCTGGAAAGCGAGGAGAAGGTGTTGATTTGGTCCATGTTCATTTTGCTCAATAAGAGCTGAGATGGAATAAAAGCTCACAAACACAAATGCCCCACAGGACAACGACTGAGCACCTCCAATTTAGGAAATATTTTAGAATTTAGCGGTTTGGCCAGTCTGACCCTGTCCAGGGTCTGATATAACCTGCTGTCATATAATTGACTTGATTTTCAGGCAGTCATGTCACAAACAAGCTTGGTGCTGCAAAATCCTGCTGTGGAACATGCTGGAAGGTCTACTACCTGGAACCTGTTAGCTAGTGTACAGTGAGGACACAGAGCCCTTAGCGACAGGGTACCTTTCTTCGCTGACTCAGAGAGCATTTCGAATTTCCGACAGCACAGCTGCTGCTGTTCCTCCGCTTGCTTCACATCCTTGCTCTTCAGGCGGGCCTTATCCAGGGCCTTGTTGGAGTTTTCGTAGTTGGCCAGCGCCCGCGCGCGCCGGTACAGCAGGTCCTGACGGGAGAGAACAACGCATACAGTGTGGTTCCCTGGCACGGGCGGACGTGTCACACCACTGCTCTGAGCCACGCGCTTACCTTGGCTGCCTGTATGTCTCTCATGTAGTATCTCAGCAGCTCGGTCAGCTTCAGCTCCTGGTCCGAAGCCACTCGCGCTTCCACTTTCTGCAGGATCACAGGAAACAGAAAGTGAGCAGGAACAGCCGTGTCCTCTCTCCGAGAAGCGTGACACCAGCGTCACGCAGGGCTCTCAGCAGGCCATAAGTCAAGGCTACCTGAACATCTTTCAGTTCCCTTGCCTGCTGTGTTGCCTTATAAATGATTCAGCCAGGGCTTCTGTTCCAAATTAGGACTAAAAATATTATCCACAATTTTATAAATTCTATTAAAGCAAATCATTACCAAACCCAAATCTTACCTTCAGCTTCTCAAACAGCTCTGCTAGTTTTACCAGGTGCCTACAACAGGTGAAAGATCAGGCTTTAAAATCCCATCTTTGAACAAGTAGATGTAATAAAATCAGGCAAAGCACAGTTCCAGTACAGGACAATAAATGACTTGTTAGTAATTCCTTTCAGATTGTGACAGATCTTGAGGTTGTTATAAGACAGTGTGGATGGGATCTCACCCCTTCAGCACTGTGTTTTCACCTGCAGACAGGCTGTTCAGGCTGGTCGAGATAAGGATGTAATCATCAGCCACATCTAAGGAAGCAAACAGGAGCAATCAGGCCATTCGTAAAAACAACAGTTCATTAAGAATCTTAACAAGGACAAGAAAGTGAAATAAAAACACACTTTTGTGGGACTGGGTCATTCTCTCAGCTTTGGCAGTGGAGTCTTTGATCTTGCTGAAATAGTCGAGGAGGAAAGTCTTTTCCTGGTCGAAAAAGTCATCCACCTCCTGGAAGACAGGAATTGGTTAAGCACGATAAAAACACTCCAAAAAAACTGAAGAGCTGTATTCAAAAATCTGGTTATAAGAGCCTGGAGTGAAAGTGCTCTACTAGGAAAACTGACACTCCAGCATTGGAATTACCAATTTATTTTGCTTTCATAACTGTAAATCATTAATCAGCTCCACTCATTGAGACAAGAGGTGAAGACAAGGAGAAAACTGGATAATGGCACATCTATTCCACCTCTATTCCCTCAGAGGTGGAATAATGGGGTAGAAACTGCTCACATGCTGGTATAGCCCGTTTAATTTGTTATTCTACTGGTAATTCTGGTATGTTGAGTGCAAGTGAGGCGAAATGAAGGTGCTTAACTCACCCCCTCACTGGCCTGCATCTCGTATGTTTATCTCGAGACCCTTCTGAGCGAGACAGTGCTGCGCAGCAGGTCTGGCCCACAAGTCCCTGTCAGTGTTTTGGCGCCAAGTGGGAGCTCATTTAGGAGGAAACACAACTGACCCTTATCCCAGAGATGATAACTTCGTCCGCAGTCTTCACCATGTTCTTCAGGAAACCCCCAAACATCTCCTTGGCGTTCTTTCTCCGGACGCTGAGCTGCACAAGTGCGACCCGAGAAAAGAGCTTTGGCATCTACAAGTCTTGTGCTATTCACATGCAGGCCTGCAATCAGTCTCATAATAGAAAGTAACACTAAAAGAGAAGCCCAGATTTTGAACTTGGATTTTTCCAACAGTGAAGAGATTGCTTGAAGGGGGCAACAGCTACTCATGTCTCAGCCCGAAGCCTGGGTGGGGCAACACCAATATACAAGATCCTGCTGGCCTAGTTTTGTTTTTCTTCAATATTCTGGGAATAATGTCTGCAGCTCCTTTGGTCTCTCTGATGCAAAATGGCCTAGTTCAACTTGTATGAATCCTCTCTGTGCCTGCAGTTCTTAGTTTGCCTATCTTAATTTTCCATTATGATGTATAAAAAAAAAACCCAACTGCTCCAGGGGTGCCATTTAAATGGCTGACCCTGCGCTCTGACCCCAAGCTTCTCCCTGTGTGCCTGTGTGTCTCACGGAGAGCAAGCTGGGGTATGCGAAAAGACAAATTCCTAATACAAGAAATTGCATATGGACAGTAAAGTGATCTTAGATCTTAAGAAAACGTCTGACAACAGCTCTACATTATACTCATTTGTGGATTCGTTTTATTATAAAGTTTAAAATTCAGATTCGGAACAGTACTTGTGTAACAGGAAACCCTAACCCTAATCACCACAAAGAGGGACAGTGTACACCCACCAAAAACAGAATTAAAACAGAGCTACTGTTCAAGTTTCCCCCAGGTCTCCTTCAGCCCACTGTAAAAACAGCCACCTTTTTGTATGACTGTCAGAGCTCAGGCCAGGCACAACATATAGGGCCAAGATACCAGACTCCGCTGTGTCTGTGCCTTCTGTGACAAACAGCTTTTGGTCAGGAATGCACATGATTCTAAATCAATATCAGCATCAAATCTGAACCACTCTGCATCAGATGAAAAGGACAGCATGCAACCTGATGTCACAGATTCCTCACATCAAGAAGCCTCTAAGTACCTTGAAACTAGGGTTTGTGAAGACCTCAGCACAATGCTTCTGCCAAATGCTAATTCACTCTCACTGAAAAATGCAGGGTGTTTGGAAGGAAATTCAAAACGGAAAGCAAGCATCCCCTCTCTGCCTCCTGTGCGGACTGGGGAAGAGGAAATGAAAGAAAGCTGCTTACATCCTGCTCGTATTCCAGGAATATCTGGAAGTTGCGATCTTTGCTGAACACGGGATGAGAGGAGAGTCTCTGCAGGAACACTTCATGGACTTGCACTGTCTTCTTAAACACTGCCAGGTACTCCCTAGCGCAAGCGAGAGAGAACGTCATGGGAGACTTCTAGGGAGGCTCCACGAGGAGGAACGTTGCTTGAATTAGTAGCCTGAAACTTGGTCACTGCAGCTGACTGTCAATACCCCTGAGGAGTGTGAGCTCTCCCAGTCTGTCCTGGCCAGGACTGCAGAGGCGCACCTGGTACTCCTGCACCACACAGCTCGGAGCCCAGCCCTGAACCCAGCCCTCATCACTGCTGGGTAGTTTTAGAGCAGCCGCTCAGGCTACAGAGGCCAGCGCAGCTCTCTGAGCAGGACCACGCCCTCAGGCCACCTGGTGCTCTGCTTCCCGTAACCCCACCCTGACCCCACCTGCACCCCAGGAACTGCCGGGCTTATTCTTACGCCTCCAGCTCCTGCTTCATCTTGGCGTACTCCTCCTTCGTCATGGAGGCCTCCCCTTCCCCCAGCTTGTGCATCTTCTCCCGGGGGCTCTCGAAGTCGGGCTTCGGGGGTGCTGGGGGGATCTGCGGGACACAAGACTCCCGTGAGCACAGGTGCCAGGCAACACAGGGGCTGCAGACACGGCTCTGCAACAAGGCTTGGGAGGATCATAGCCCTTCATTGTTTTCTTCTGCAACTGTCACCTTTTTACAGGATTGTAACAGTGACAAGCAAACCTCCCAGCTAGGTCAGGAATACGAATGTCGACTCCCCAACAAGCCTCCAGGGCCGTCGCGGACACTCACAATAAGGCCGGCGTACTCCTCCGTCTCCACCAGGGTGTCATGCAGCCAGATGAAGTCCTCGTGCTGCCTGGGCACTGAGGACTCCGGCTTCTGGAAGGTGCCCAGCGTGGTCTGAAACACAGCCAGGAGAAAGATCAGCACAAAGGAAGAACGTGTTTCCCAGGCAGGACCCATGCTGAGCTGCTCGACAAAGGGCCAAGCGGAGCACGTGCTGATGTCTGCACACGAAGGTGGAGCAGATCAAGAAGATGAATAAATCAGCACTTAGAAAACAATGGACAATCTTCATGCTTTCATGCTGCATCATTACGTTAAAGCTCAGGGACTATGTGGCCTGTCGTTTCTGACTCTATATATCAAGAATCCAAGACAGTGAAGTCCTTCCTCCAGCACCCTTACCTTGGTGTGCACTGTGAACTTGACCTTGTCTCGCTCACACAGGGCGTCGGGAATGTCGATCATGAGGGAGGAGTCGTTGTTCAGATCCACGGACACCGAGCGCACCTGGGGGCAGAGTGAAGGAGAGACAGGCTGGCAGCAAGCAAGCAATCTTTATCACTACACACTACTGAAAATGTTCACAGACAAATTCCCCTTTGCTGAATGAGTTCCAAGCACACTGGTGAAATGCAAGAAGTATTTTAAACATTTTTAAGATGGATATGACAGCTATTAGCAAGAATAATTTTGAATCGAAGATCAGATGACTAAAAAAACCTGAAATATCTGAGAATCTGGGACACACCTAGAGCACTATTCCTAACCATGCAGTGCTGCAGAAACATCCTGAGCCCTGGGCAGGACACATCACAGCAGCTGACTGCTAAGGCACTCTCACAATCGGGACCTGCCCATGTGATGTGTGGTGTCTTGCAACAGACTGCAGAGTATTTGGCAACCAGGGCTGTGTTCTGCCTCTGCACGTCAGAATGCACACTGTCTGCAAAACAGCCAAAGAGCCAAACCCCTTGAAAAATCATGCCACTGCTTGACAAGGCAGTCATTAATAGCAAAGGGATCTCTGTTCCCTGAACCGAAGCTGAAGTAGCACTCCTGCACCTCAGAATATTTCTTCAAGTATTTAAATAGGGAAGTTACACTCAGATGTGCAACAAGCTTGTGTTTAACGTTCTTCCAGAGTCAGAAGCACAAGCCTGGAAATAAACTGTTTTCCCTGATAAATAATAAATCATGACAGCATTTCCACACCGGCTGTGTTACAATGAAAGGACAAAGAGGCAGTGTCGGAAGTTAAAACATGCACAAAGACCAGAATTAAATGACTAATGGGAAAATATGAAGCATTTGTTAGACCTCAGGGAGGAGAGCTTACAGTGCAGAGAGTCCAGTTCTAATGGGAACAGCTAAAACATCTGGCTACACGTTCCACAAGAGTTTCAACAACTCCAGATGTTTCTCAGAGACGTGCATCCAAATGGCACTTTTCCGCACCGTTTGTTAGCTCAGATTAGATGGCTGCCAAAGCAGAAAAATTATGTTATTCTCATCCCCCCATATTTCAATGATCTGTTTTGATTTATCATGCCCCCTGTTTAGCAACTAAACAAGCAGAGGTGGTCTGGAGTCCTGGCGTGAATCAGCCACCTCCTGGCCTTGTCACACTGCAACTGGGACACGAACAGCTACGTGCCAATACTACGTTTGCCATTCGGAAGCTTTTAAAGGTCCTATTCATTTCAAGTTGTAGGAAAACCCAGCCCTACAAACATCTTTCTGTTGACATTACTTCTAAACTCACCAGCTAGCCAGATGTGTGGCTGCAGCAATACAACCGCACTCGCCTGCGCTGACACTGGCAGGAAGTGTCTCACACTGGCTGACAAAACTTGACAGGCATACAGTATGAAACTGCATCACGTTACACATATCTCGAGTCCAAACGAGAATCAGTGAGATTTAAACTTCAAGGTGCTCATTGCAAACACGTGGTACCCATAGATGATGCACAAATCTCAACACACCCCATTTCTGTGTACCTGACTGAGACTATAAAAACAGGGTTTCTGTGCACTTGTAGCTTATACACGTATGGAATGGTGAATGGTACACTGGTCACATTGATATCTGTGTTGATATCACATGTCCAGCAATCACTTTTGAATCAAAAATATGATGAGTCAATCCCACGATTCCCATCTGGCCAGTAACTCAAGGTCTAGATGATCCTGCTCTAGAAAGAGTTCAATGACAGGCCACAGAACTTCATGACAGACACAGACTTGTTCCTCTCGTCCTGAACCGAGAAGGCTGTGTGGACCAGACCACAGCTCACCAAACCCAGAGGAATATCTCAATGTCAAATCTAACAAGGTAATCTTACTATGGGATCAAAAAGGAAGCAAGGACTGAAAAGGAAAATGGGAGTTATTTAGAAACTCAAACACTGAGGTATGTCTTCTTTAAAAATGTGGGCATTCGGAACAAACTTCCCAACCAGGCTGTGGAAACGATTCAGTGATTCAATTAACTCTCTCAATAGTGAGCAGGACAAGATCAAATAAAGTGAGTTCATGAGCTGGTAATCTTCTTCTGAGATTATTTTGAAACAAAGAAAACTACAGATCTAAGAGCCACTGCTAAAACCTTAAGAAGTTCAAAGTACTCTTGAGTCTGTGCTTTACACAGCTGACTGCACTGTGTGGACTGATGACTCAGCAGAAAGGGCAGAAAGGATAAGCTGGAAATAACCGTTTCCTCTGGAATGCCTTTCAGGAAGTTTTAAACAAACAGGACCTGTGAAATGCTGACTCCTGAGGTTTCTCCCTGTGCTTTATTAACTCTTGCACACTCCTAATAAAGACACAAAGCATCCAAGTCGCACGAAGAAGAAAATGTCATCAAAAGCTAATTCAATTAACTGCCCAGCCAAGACAGGCAACCAGGGGCCCAGCTGGTGACTTGGAAAACACCTTCCTATCCCGGACATTTACTGTGTTCTCCACAACGTTTTGAAATGCGAGTCCTTTCGAGCTGCTGCTAACAGTCACTAGGACAACCCGCAGAGAGAGCTGAAACTTCATATCTGAGGATGCCTGTAACTAAACCTTTTCTGCCCGATACCTGTGCATGTTAACACTGCATCATCCTCTGCAGGACTGCACCAGAGTTTACACTAAATCACATACCGACATGGGCATTTCAGAGGGGATAGCACCTCCTACAGTGTCCCTGGCCACCATAACAGTTTGGAAATTCCTGTCCAGGGGGCTGTGCGCCACCTACTGGTCCACCAACAACCTGCCCACAGCTGCAAGCTATTTCTTTGAAGCAGTAGGCCTCAGCATCTCATCTTATCCTTGGGAACGGCTTTGTCCATGACCCACAGAGGCCAGTGCAAAAGAAGAGCAGCAATGGAGTAAAAACTGATATTTATAACCAAAACCACAACGAAAAGACTGGAGATAGGTTGCTCTCAATCGACAGCCCCTCTGCAAAGTGTAATTTCAATCTCTTGCAAGCATCCTAAACCTTCTCTTTCATTAACAGACCACGGGTGCAATAATTCACCATCCAATCAATGCATCAAACGCTACCACTTAATAAGGAATTTTATATAAGGAATGCTGAAATTTGATCAACTAATTTCTTTAACACTATCTCAGGGGCTACAGCTTTTTTAACGGACAAAAATCCAAAAACGGAGTATCCGGAATGGGAAGTTTATTGCTACACTTTCGAGAGAACTGACTAAACACCAGAAGTGAGCGACATACAATTCTTCTATCAGTCTTATGCCTGCTGACACGCAGGACAGCAGGGCGACGATCTGCGGTTTCTTGATCCGAACCTCCCCGGATCCCACAGCGCAAAGCGCCGCCGAACTTCACAGACCGACTCCGCTGGAAACGCGTCCTGAACAGGAAACCCACATGACTCGAGCTGCGGATGGCCAGCTGTCTGTGGAAAACAACACTTTTCCAGTAACTCTGGTATTTCTTCCTTACCTTTTCGTTTTCCATTTCCTCGGGAACTGATGCCATCTTATGCGAAACGACGTCGAAATAGCAACTATCTCAGAACTCAAAAGCTTTTCGCACAGTGACAGTAAGTTGGTACATCAACTCACAGCTGCCCAGATACCTCCCTCCGCCGTTTCGCCGTACCGTCCCTGTCACTCCACCACTTCCACTAACCCTGCTCAAGCCCCGCCCACCACCGCTTCCGATTGGCGGGGGGTCAGCGACTACCGCGCTCCTATAGTATAGATTGCTTGTCAATCACAGCAGATCCCATCGTTTCAGTTAACTCCAGTCGAGGCAGGAACTTCCTGTACCCACACGGACGGGATTGAAAGACGCACAGGAGCGGAAGTACTACACTGTGGGATCTGTAGTTTACAGACGTGGACTGAAGTGTTTGGCGCCACGAGAAACTATGATTCCCGACACCCACAACCGGAAATAAAACAATGCCCAGGCGCTCGTCTAGTTCTAGTTCAATGGTAAGAATGAAAATGAATTGCATCGGGATTGATTGTGTGCACTTTAACTTCATATCTTACAGTTATCTACTGGTGTCTTTTTCATTGCTACATCTATATGGTACTGTTGTACAGTAAAGGGCCTCGTGTCTGTTTTTTTTTTTTTTATTCTTAGTTCCAAGTTTTTTTTTCTTGGTGAAACGTTAAATGCGGAGAACCAGGGATGTGTTGTAATAAACTGACGAACGTGACTCGATATGTTATTGACACGGATTTTCTAGACTGTATAACCGTCCAACACCTTCACCATGAAACCATTTACCAGTTCATTCATCTGAGTTATGAACCACGATTTAAATGGAATTTAGTAATGCAATAATAATGCAAATTAATGAATTGATTTGAAGTTGTACTCAGATATTTATAGAGGTGTTTCCACTACATATACACTATATCTAAAACAAATCTTTGCGCAATACGACACATGCTTTTTTTTCTTTTACACTGCATTTCAGTATTGACTAGTTTTATCAAAATCTTTTTATTCTACAAAATATCTTAGGTTCTTAATTCACTTTCATTGAGTCACTGATGTATTTCCCTTGGCTTTTAAAGGCGTGTTTCCTGCGGTTGTACATATAGAAGAAGCTGCAGAAGAGCTCGGTGTGAACCGAGTGCTGGGAGAATGAGGATCTATCGGCTCTTGAGCGCAGTCTGGAGCGCGAAATCACGGAGCTTGTCCGTCGCGCTGGTTTCCCAGGGCAGCTTCAGTGTGGTCCGGTGCTTATCCACATCCTGCCCCTGGAATGGACGCAGAAAGGGCAGCCAGTACGACTCCGTGGATACGGAGAAATACTCCTCGCTGGTTCACTCGGTTGTGTCCTCGAAAGTTAGCTACCGGACTCCAGCCAGTCTAGAGGAAGAGGACGGACAGCTCTATGGACCTGTGGTCAAATCCAAGCCTGCTGCTAAGGGAACCGAGGCCAAGACTCTGAAGAACATCGTCCCTTTGCTGAACAACGCGAAGGTGCTGGAGCAGCAGACTGTAGAGGCAGAGCTGCCCCCACCCATGCGCATCGCCCTGCGGAAAGCCCAGGGCAGGCCCGCCGCCCCCAGTGTGACACGCATCCTGCAGCACAGCATGCCCCTGGAGCAGGCTTTCTACCTGGAGAGGTGGAGGAAGAGGATGATCGGGGAGCTGGGAGAGGAAGGCTTCAAGGAGTACACTGCCAGTAAGCCAACTAGCCCTGCTCCAGCGTCAAGGCTGAGCGTCAGGCCCCAGACGCACGGCGCTGTGTCTGAGGTTGTCTTCCCTGCCTGCGGAGCTCTGCCACGCCGTGCTTGGCTGGAGCAGCTCAGTCCTCTGGGAAGGCTCCAGCTGTGGAGTTCTGTTTCCCCAGCAAGGAGAACCTGAGTTTGAGCCTGGGCCTCAGTCCTTCTGCAGCAGGGGCTTCAAGCTCCGCTTGAATTTACTGGATTTACTGTCCTCTGATTTTTAACCTTCACAGCTCTATTATATAGTTGGTCTAATTAATTGACATCTTAACTGTAATACTTCTAATGAGATCCCTATGTGTTCTTCAGTAACTACCTTTAACAAAGATTCTTGTGAGTTTTCAACTTTGAAAGACCTTCATAAAATCACATATGTGTGTAACTAAGAAATAATTAGGTTCTTTGCTTAACTGATTACGGAGGTTGGAGTAAAAACCAACAGACACTTGGACAGGGAAGCCCAGCTCCTGACCTGCAGGGCCCACAAGGTTGCAGCTTTGTGTTCCATACAAGCCTTTATTTACCTAATGGGGCTGATAACTAGGTTAATTGGTGTCCTCTAGTTCTTCAGGAGAGGGGAATTCAAAGAGAGTCATGAGACCTGCTGGATTGCAGTTGTGCACCAGTGCATGAGTCTCTTCAGTAACTGAGTTTGAGTTACTGCCTACTCACTTGTTCATCTGACACTTCCATCCAAAGCACATGTTTACACAGCTGGGGATTTCAGTGTAGCAATCAGGGTGAATCTCAAGGGTGCAATAGCTGTGCTTCACCTTGGATTTGAACCTACAACCTTCCAGTTACTCTGACCACTGTCCCACACTGCTGCCCTGGTCTAAGAGGTTACGCTAACACAACAGTGCAAACTCCGGCTGCTGGCATGGTGCCTGCAGGTCTTTGGTGTTTATCGGTTACAAGCCAAGGGCAGTCATGATAATAATAATAATAATAATAATTGCTTACACTTATATAGCGCTTTTCTGGACACTCCACTCAAAGCACTTTACAGGTAATGGGGACTCCCCTCCACCACCAGCAATGTGCAGCATCCGCCTGGATGATGCGACGGCAGCCATAGTGCGCCAGAACGCTCCCCACACATCAGCTCTCAGTGGGGAGGAGAGCAGAGTAATGTAGCCAATTCATAGAGGGGGATTATTAGGAGGCCATGATTGGTAAGGGCCAATTGGAAATTTGGCCAGGACACCGGGGTTACACCCCTACTGATGATGACTAAGGAGCTGGCTGTAATATTTATAAATGCAGGAACCCTGACTGAGAAGAATATTGTCCACAAATACTCACTGAAAGCAAGGATCTCTTAATTGTCAGCTGAGCAGTGGCTTGTTATAAACACCTGACTGCTCAATTAGTCAAATCTGTCTCTCTAGATCTTTTTAGGCAAGGAAACCAGTTCCATGCAGCACTAGAGGCCATCCTGATGTCGACAGAGGTGCCCGAAGAGGCGGAGGCGCCTGCGGGGGGCGTGTGTGGGTACGTGCAGAGTGTGCAGCACGTGCTGGCGGACATCAGCGGGGTGCGCGCCATAGAGAGTGCCGTGACCCATCAGACTCTGCAGTACGTCGGCCTGGTGGACTGCGTCGCCCAGTACAGGTGAATGGCCTCTTAACAGTCAGTTTGCTCCTTGAATTCGGTCATGCGGCATCCCATGATGCATTGAACTCCTTACTCTGACATTGAGGATCGATCTCCAGGCTCTCTCCCTTCAAAACACAGGAGAAAGGCAGCCATTACTAGGCTCAAAGGTAATAAATACTGTGTTTAATTCGGCACCCCAGAATCTTCCTGAGAAAATTGAGAAATTGTAACACTGGAGGACCATCATGCTTTGTAAATGTCACCACACACAGGCATGTGAACTGAAAATCAACGTATCCTTCATTTTAGCTTAATATCATCCTTGTAGAATATTATCATCTTTAATATTTATTTAGGTGGAATTGTCGTCTGTGGCGTTTACTTTGTGTTTTTAGATTTTTTTAGTGACAGTATAGAAGCTCTGTCTATGAGTGTCTGATTCATGAGAGACACGGTGTGACCCATGATTCTTTCCTCACAGGGGGAAGCTGTGTGTGATTGACTGGAAGACCTCAGAGAAGCCCAAGCCACTTCTGCACAACACATTTGACAACCCCTTACAAGTTGCAGCCTATATAGGAGCCATAAACAATGATGACAACTACGGTTTTCAGGTTTGTGTGATTCAAACTGATGACTTCTTCTATATGTGCTTTTTTTTGTCATATAAACATTTTTAATCTCATGTACTTTGAGTAGTTACTGTTTCTTCATGTTTCAAGTTGTCACTGGTGATCTAGCTAGAGAAGTTTGAGTTCTGTGAATTGTGAGCCCTGTAATTCTCCTGTTATGAAACTCCAGTACACTGAAGTACAGAAAGGATTGCACATAGAAGTGCCTTTTATATAGAGACTGCAAAGATCTCGGTAATAAATATATTAAATTTAATCGAGATGGATGTTTCCTTGTTTCCCTTCTGCTTGCCTTCAGGTGGAAGACGGGCTGATTGTGGTGGCCTACAAGGATGGGTCCCCTGCCCACCCTCACTTCATGGACTCCGCTCTGTGCCTGGAGTACTGGACCAAGTGGCTCTTCCGGCTGGAGGAGTACCTGGAGAAGCAGTAGAGGGAGCGGGAGAGAAGAGCCCAGGAGTGCACAGCTCTTTACACGGCTTCCAGGCTGCTACCCTTCCGCACACTCGTCACGTGCGGCGGTGGCACGCTAACAGTGCGTTTGTCACATTCACCCGCTTTCCTTTCTGGTTGTTTTCAAATCAAAAAGTGTTTTCTTTTTCAGTTCTCGGTGGTGAGCAGTCGTGGCCGAGGGTGTTGGGGCAGGTCTGAGCCAGAGCCTGGAACCAGGCTGCCTGTGCGCTTGTTGCACTGGGGTGAATACACGCGTGCATGTGTGGACACAGCCATAGCCAAGGCAAGGAAAAACGGGAAAACAAAGAACCCATCATAGGCAGCACCCCTGGGTTTTATTCTTCAAATTGACCTCGGAGAGCAGGGTTAATTACCACGCCTGTGATTGAAGAAAACGCGTGTCTGTAATCGCCATCATCTTGATGCACTGTATGTTTGTTCTGTTCCTTCACGGCAAAGGATCTACTGTATTTAGATTTAAGTCAGACTTCTAATAAATAAATAAAACTCTTAAATTGCCCCTCTGGGGATGAATAAAATATTTTGAGTTGTGTTAATTACTAATTATTCTTTTCTATCTTCATGGATAATAATTTCATAGGGACCTGCAGACCCTGCAGGACTGTGTTTCTGGCCTGGGAGATCAGAGCAGAGGACAGGAGGTCCTTGATTTAACGTACTGCTTCTCCTGGGTTCCCTTGTGATTTCAGGTGCTTAATATGAGTTTTTCTTGTCCTCTGTCAGAATTAAAAACGTGGTACAATCTTATCTACTCCTGTCTATTATTTTCATAAAATATATATTTTTTAATTTGTGACGGTAAATTAAGCAAGTCGATAAATGGGAACGTTTATACCCGATGAAAGTAATTGGAATTAAATCTTATTTATAATGAAAAAAAATTGTCTACGAAGAGATCATAGGAGATCATATGTTAGTAAAAACTTTCATCACTTGTGTGCGCTCGTACTGTCGGCTTAAGGGGGAAAACGTGAAGCCACCTGCCAGGACCTGGGTACGTACAACGTTGTGCATCTATTCACCGCTTTCAGACTGTTCCTGACCACGCTGTGGTGAACCTCGAATAGTTCTATACTCAATTGATTTTGACTGCGCGATTATTGCGTCATCGCCATGCGCCGGGACGGGTCTGCTGTGAAAACACATTGGTTTTACTCGAAGTAGTGCCCTTGACAGATAATGTGGTGTTGGAGCGTTTCGGATTTTTAAGTGCCTTCCTTTAGCTATGTCTACAACCTCCAAGGTGGTGTTAGGGATTTCTCTAGCTCTGACTCTGGGAACGGTGGCGGGAGTTCACATCAAACAAAGTCTGGATCGAGAGGTGAGAGCCCGGAGACGCCTCAGCTTTCCCAGGCCGGTTTGTTTATTTCGATAGTGTTTCAGCTTCTGCTGCTGTATTCCTGTGAGAACTCACATCGTCGCAGCATTTGTTTCCTTCTCTACACGGGCAAAGGCTTGTAAACGAATGCACCAATAAGTCTGGGTGGTGTGGGGAGGATAAAGGACTTTTAGCAATGCATAGAGTTTGGCGTAAGAGGTCCCCTGTGAGGTACTGACTGGATACAGGATATATGGGCGAGTTAATTGAAGGTCAACAGATTTAAAAACATTCTGGACACAGACCTGTAAAATACATTAACAACAGTGTGAATTGAAAAAACGTTGTTTTTTTCTATGAAAACACTCTGTTGCTATGCTGCTACCTCAGTAAGTTAGTTTTAGCTGATGAATGTCAGAATCTTGTGTATGTGTGCACGCATATAGCCGTGTATCTATACTTGTGTTTGACATGAATTAGTCAAAAGAATGAACTAGTCCTCCTGTGCTTTAAAGAGACGTTTAAGGGGTTAAGTCAATTGCAAATCTAACAGAGTTGTCTCAAGGAGTGTGAGAGCCACCTGTTGATGCTCTTGTTCTGATCGTGCTGCTCTTGGATCTCCGGCAGAGACTTCGGGAGGGTGTTGTCCGGGACCTGGAGCGGCAGGCCAGGAAAAGGGAGAACCTGCGGCAACTGGAAGAGCAGATCAGTCTGACCAGGGAGCTGGAGAAGGAGCGGGAGAGGAGAGCTGCAGGCGCTCAGGGCTCCTAGACTGGCAGGCCACCCTGAGAGAGGCTCAGACATCGCCAACAGCTTATGTGAGTCAGGCTGGTCCGCTGACTGTGGGTGTTCTGGCCTGTGTGGCCGATGCTGAATGACTCTGTCCTCCAAGCCAGGTGTGTGTACCTGAACGTGGTTGATGGGCTCTAGGCCAGAAGTGTCTTCAAGTTTTAGTTCCAGTCAAGGTCTCAGTTACTTACTTGAAATTGTTTGAAATTTTCAGCAGATAAACATAATTTCAAAATGTGGTGCTTAAGCAAGCGATCTGTTCAATCCCAGGCTCAATCATTTAACTGAGGGTTGAGCTGGAATACTTAGTAAGTTTCCTTGAGGGTGTGGGAGTCTGCTTTACATGGGACATGTAAGAAAATTTCATGATGTGTACAGGCCATTCAGTTCATCAGAACTACAAAAGGCCTTGCTCCTTGAGAGACTCCTTGTTGCAACACTGGTCTGGATAAAATCCTATTATTACTGATTCTCTCTCTTCCTCTGTAGTATCAGCGCAGGACCTGCTTTGCCAGTTGCATCTTGTTTCCTGAATGTATCTGTTGGAGTGAAACTGTCCCCTGTCCTGCAGGGTTGTGGGGCTCTGCAGGCAGCCGGCCCAGAGCGCCCCTGTCGAGTGAGTACGTGCCAGCGATGGACGGGGGATCTGGCGAGATGAGGGGCCTGTCCAGCCAGCGGATGGACGATGAGGCCACTCGCACCTCGGCCTCGGAGGGGCTGGAGGAGGGGGAGGTGGAGGGGGAGACGCTGCTGATCGTGGAGTCAGAGGACCAGGCCTCTGTGGACCTCTCCCATGACCACAGCGGGGATTCCCTCAACAGCGACCTCGGCGACGAGCCCGACTCCAGCTGGACGGAGGAGATGTCCTTCTACTGTGATAAGTGTCACAAGTGGATCCCAGCCGGTGAGACGCACCTGCAGGACGTTACAGCTCACTGCCAGCTTCCGAATCTGTAATGGTGACTGTGGGCTTAAAGCTTTTTTCCTTTTTAAACTACAGTCTAATACTGGCTCTTGTAAAGAAGGGAAGGGTTATCTCTGCAGCCGGGAAGCTCTCCCCAATGCACTCAATTCCCTCTTGGCCAAACTCCCTCTCTGACTCAGCCAGCCGGATGACGGACTCTGACAGATGTCAGCTACACCTCTGTGGCTCTCCTTGTCCTTTCTATTCCTCCCTGCTCTACTGCCACTCCATTGCTCTAGTCACTCTGTTGGCTCCTTATTAACACACACATCCCCCTCGAAGCCCTTGTTCTTGCACACTGATTACTCAGCGCCTCTGCTCCTGCTGGTCTTCAGTCCCTTATCTCTCAGCCTTCTCCACCCCATCTCTGCTCCTCCTCTTCATTCCCTCACGTCTGGTGTCTGTTCATTCTCCACCCTCACCCCTCAGAAGTGGAGTGGACCTCCCCCAGAAATTAAAACTGCTCACTCGGTCCCTGACCACCTTTCGGCACCTGCTCAAGACTGGCCTGTGTAGACAGCTCCTGGGATCTCAGCTCTCATCTGCATCCTTCAGTAACCCTCATGTTGCAATAAAATTGCTAATTCTTAGACTGGTAAAGGGGCTTGCTAAGTTAAGTTCCTCACAGTAAAGAAGGCATACAGACTTACAGGGTGTTGACATCACAGCTCCATATTCACACTGTCTGAACTCTGACTATTCTTGGGAGGGCGTTGACCTTAGAGTAATTCAATTCAATTTATTTTTATATAGCGCCTTTTACAACAAGGTTGCCCAAGGTTGCCCCAAGTAAAGTAAAATCCTATTTTTCTGTGCTGATTCTGAACATTAGCTTCCTTGTTCAACATCCAGGTCAGCTGCGAGGAGACCAGCCCAGCTACCTGAAAGGCGACAACTTCTTTAAGTTCACCTGCTGTGAGTGCTCAGAGGATGACAAGGAGCACTTTGAGAGGATGAGGCTCACCTGGCAGCAGGTATGAACCAGGGATATTCTCTCTGGGCCACCCCTGACTGCTCAAGGGTCTCCTGGCTCCAAATCATCTGATTGAGTCCAGTTTAAAGGTCTTATTTCAGCTCTCCAGAAAAATAATTACTCATGCTGACATTTACGATTTTGGGCCATATAATACTATGACGTTATTAACACTGTTGACACCTGTTGATGTTTGAAGTGGTCATGACTTCCTGTCCTCCAGGTGGTCATGCTGGCCATGTACAACCTCTCGCTGGAGGGCACCGGCCGACAGGGCTACTTCCGGTGGAAGGAGGACATCTGTGCCTTTATCGGGAGACACTGGACCTTCCTTCTGGGATCCAGGTAGGGCACTGGGGGTAATTGCTAGCACTGGCAATTGGAAACAGAGAGAACGGACGACAGCGGTGTGTGTGGCTGATCTGCTCCCTCTGACTCTACCGTGCAGGAAGAAGACATCCACATGGTGGAGCACAGTGGCGGGGTGTTTGTCGGTGGGGAGCCCCATGTTCTTCCGTTCTGGAGCCCAGGAGTTTGGGGAGCCAGGCTGGTGGAAGCTGGTACACAACCGACCACCCACCCTGAGGCCCGAGGGGGACAAGACCTCCGTCTCCTTGCTGAAGACAAAAGGTGAAACGCTGCTCTCTCCTCTGGTTCTGAGCTGAGGCATGTGCCTGGAGCACAGGAGTAAAACAATCCAAAGGAATGCTGTTCCAGCATCTCATATTTCTGTCTGGATAGAGGTCATATGGCCTTGCTGATCAACTGTTCTTGGAAAATGGCTTCTCAAAGCTTAATGCCAGCAGTCAATCAAGGGAGACAAAGGACTTTTTCACCCTGACATGATGGGCTTCCCAAACATCAGCAAGGTTACAAACACCTGCAAGAGTCTTGGTCCAGCTTTTTCTTGCAGGCCTGCCTGGGGAAAGCTTCAGCAGTAAATCTGTTTTGCCTGTACTGCTGAACTTGTGCATGGAGAAGTTCTCATTCTAGTCAGTGCTCAGTTCCTGCTCCCCTTGTGTCTGTGGGGAGGGGGGAGGAGGCCGTTTTCCTCATCTGACTGTGGTGTGTTTTGCCCCCTCAGCCCCCTCCAAGCCCCCGCTGGACCCCATCATCACGGTGGAGGGCCTGAGGAAGCGCGGGGGGCGCAACCCGGTGGAGAGCGCCATGCAGCTGAAGGAGAAGCGTTCGCGCACCCAGGAGGCGAAGGACATCCGTCGGGCCCAGAAGGAGGCGGCCGGCTTCCTGGACCGCAGCGCCTCCTCCACGCCCGTCAAGTTCGGCAGCCGGGGTCGGCGGCCGGAACTGGTGCTGGAGAAGGGGGAGGTGATCGATTTCTCCTCCCTCAGCTCCTCGGACCGCACACCGCTCACCAGCCCCTCCCCGTCCCCCTCGCCTGACTTCTCCGCCCCCGGCACTCCGGCCTCCCACTCCGCCACCCCCAGCCTGCTGTCCGAGGCTGACCTCATCCCGGACGTCATGCCCCCCCAGGCGCTCTTCCACGGTGAGGCTGCCCTCTCTCATGTGCGGCTGGGCTGCAGCAGACCGGGCCCGAGAGCCTTTTCCATCTTCCTGACGATGGGTGTCTGTAAGGGCTTGGGTTTTCGCCATGTAAACACAGGGGGTTTGAAAGAGACCCTGGGGTCTGACCAGCAGCTGTATCACAGATGCAGTGGAAATGTCAAGGCTGAAGTCAAGACAAATCATGTCCGACCTTTTTTTACTTTTAATACGTTTTTGTAACCAACAATATTTAAGTGAATAACATGGACACGGATGGATCATTTTTAGGAAGAATAATTCTATTTAAAAAAATTAAACCCGAGATCTTCACTCCAAACTCTTTATTCCTGCAGCTGGTATTGATTGGCATTGTTTGTGGTCTTGGGGGAGTTGCAGTTTCCTATGAAGAATGCAGAGCTGTGAATCTCCAGGAATAGGGCTGAAGACTGTTGCTTTAATGTCATATGATATGGCACCCTTGCGAGGGCAGAACCCGTTTCTGTATGGAAAGCGTAGATGTGCTGAATCCGTCTTGCTTTTCTTCCCACAGACGATGAAGAGCTGGATGGGGAGGGTGTGATCGACCCTGGAATAGAGTACATTCCCCCTCCCAGCCTGCCCCTGGCCACGGGCGCCCTGATCATGCGGAAGAAGCTGCAGCCGGCCGATCACATTAAGCAGGAGGTGGAGAGCGAGGAGGAGAGGGGCGGTGAGCGGGGCGAGGAAGAATCAGACCGCGGCCCGGACGAGGGCGGATCTGCACAGGCCAGCCGGGGCAGGGGGGACAGGAAGAAGCCGCTGTCCTCGGAGAGAGAGGACGGCTGCCCTGCGGCCGCCGCCAGCCCGCACTACGCCCCCCTGAGCCTGTACGAGGAGCGGCTGCTGCTGCGGCGGCTGGAGGCCTGCCCGCAGGCCCTGGCCGTCACCCCCGAGGCCAGGCGGCTGCACAGGAAGCTGCTGGTGCGGCAGGCCAAGCGCGAGAGGGGGCTCCCCCTGCTGGACCTGGACCAGGCTGTCAGCGCCGCGCTCAGCCTGGTGGGGGGTGTCTACGGCGCCCGAGAGGAGGCTGCAGGCCAGCGCGGGGGGGCCTCTGTGGGCACCTACCGTACCACCAGCCAGGACCTCCGAATCCTCGATCGGTTCCAGGTACGGACAGGACTCCACCCTCGTGTCCATTAGTGTGCGAGTGAGATCAGGCACAGTCGGCTCCTCTTGCTCACTTGGCTGCTGGTTGCCTAGTTGCTCAGAGTGCAGGTGCTTCTTGAAGGGCCATGGCGCTTGGCCAGACATGCTGTGACTGTTGGCGCAGTGCAGACCTGATCTGGGGGCACAAAGTCTGGGCCACACTTACAGCTGGCTGAGGAAAGCCTTCTTAAGGGTTAGTGGTCAGCTTTGTTTTGTTTGATCTTCTAGACCACTGTGTCCGCGAGGAAAGGGTACAATCAGCCCACCACCTCTTTTTGGCATCGGTTGATGGGGTTGGACTGCACCCTCAACCAAGGCATCAGAAGCCCCTACACCTCCCGCACCCTGAAGCCATTCATAAGGTACAGTTGTGCATGTGTAGTATAGGAATCCCGGTAGCCAGCGCCACATTGTAAAAGGAGTCTGGGGTTTTATTACGGCCTCATGCAGTTTTGGTTGATGTTTTTGTAATAAAATGTTTGTCCTTTCCAGCAGCAGTTTCAGTGTGTCGTGTGTGTGTATGCAGGAGAGACTTTGAGAGCAAGCCGCTTAAATTGCGCCTGCTGGCCGAGATCAGAGCCTACCCCCACAGGAACGACCCCAGCTGGAAGCCCGAGCCAGAGGCCCCAATCGACTACTGCTACGTCCGGCCCAACCACATCCCCTCGGTCAACTCCATGTGCCAGGAGATCTTCTGGCCTGGTACTCCTGCACTTCTCTCCCTCTTTTTACTGCTCTTTGTTGGGACTGCAGCTGACATAATGTCATGTCTCGCTTTAGTGAGATTAGGTCCAGTGGCATGCTCCTGTTTCTGGGTTGATAAAATGAGCAGGCAGACGTTTACAGAATTCACTGAAGAGCAGCAGGTCTTCCTGTGATCAGAACAACCTCAGAAAGTTTTCATGCCTGCACATGTCGTTCATCCTTGACAGTTCCTACAGCCTTGGTCATGTTATATCTAAGATTCTTTATCACCTGTGTGTGTTCAACAGGCATCGATCTGTCAGAGTGCTTGCAGTATCCAGACTTCAGTGTTGTGGTTCTGTACAAGAAAGTGGTCATTGGGTTTGGGTTCATGGTCCCGGATGTGAAGTACAATGAAGCCTACATATCATTCCTGCTGGTTCACCCGGAGTGGAGAAGAGCAGGCATTGCCACCTTCATGATTTACCATCTTATACAGGTATTTGCCCGTAAAGCTGTTACCTTGGGTGTAGCAAAGGCAAGTTCTGTTACAGGGTATCATCTTAAAGAGGTGCGATCTTATAATCTTATTATCTTATACAGGCATTGTCTTATACAAACACTGTCATTAATGTTACTTTGTAGGACCAAGACCCCAGCCTTTGGAAATATCATCATCTGTAACTGTTTCAAGGTCAATGTTTTTAATGCTCTAAAGCAAGTTTGGGCATGAGTGTAAAGCTTCAAATCTGACTATGAATTACATCTTGTTTCAGACTGTAGCAAGACGCATCTGAAATGAAAAAAACATGCAGATGACCGGTGAAACTGCAGTGTGTCTTTCCAGGTCCCCTGGCTAAGTCTGCAAACGCCTTTTCTCTCCTTCAGACCTGTATGGGCAAGGACGTGACCTTGCATGTTTCTGCCAGTAACCCTGCCATGCTGCTGTACCAGAAGTTTGGCTTCAAGACGGAGGAGTACATCCTGGACTTCTATGACAAGTACTACCCCGTGGACAGCAAGGAGTGTCGCCACGCATTCTTCCTGCGCCTGCGCCGGTAAGGGCCTTTGACTCCGCTGGGCACCCCTCTCCTGGCTGACTGCGAGGGCACTGAGCCCGCCGTGCCTGAGTGCAGGGGCCCGCGGCCGTAGGAGCACAGAGAGAACTTCTTCTGTTTCGAGTGTGTGTCCAGAACCCTCGTTCCTGTGGTGAAATCCAGACAGTTGTAGGAAAAAAACACCTCGCACTGAAAACGGTGCCCAGGCTGTTTTCTGTCTTCAGTTTCGACAGAGAAACAAAGGGAATCTTCTCACAGAAATGATTTTCTTTTTTTAATTTAGTGTTGTGTTTGGGCTGCAGCATCCACGAAACGTGTTTCAAAGGTTAGTACAACATCCAGGGATTTACTCTGGGACTGTTTTTTCTTATTTTAAGGACTGGTCAGTGTTATCAGCATTGTTCTTGATTTTGGAAAGTCATGTTTCTAAATTATCGGTCTTGTAAATCCATGTTTTTAAACATTCTGATGTGTAGCCCATCTGTTACTTTTCCTATTAAAAGTTTTTCTTACATGTGTTTGTCTTTCCTATTTATATCAGCTATAGCAGCAGTGTTTTATGGAGGAATATGTTTTATTTAAAAGACTGATCAACTCTTTTAAAAAGTAGAGAATTTGGAAAACGGTATCCAGTATATTTTAAACTTCATGGCTTATAAAATGTGCAGTTCTTCAGCAACAGGTTGGTGACAATAGCAGGCATTTAAGCAGAACTGAACCAGAGGATTATTCAGACATCTGTTTAGTGTTAACTGGATAAATGTTGCTTAACCCACAAGAAGAGCTGCAATGCTGCACAGATGAAAATGGTAACACTGATTTCACTGAATAATTGAGTTAGATTACAAACACTCTTGAATAAAAAGTAGAAGACCTTTGTTCTTTTAAGACTGAAGATAAGAAATGCTTTCATCAAATGTAACGTGTTTTAATTAAAATATTGTATTTTCACATGAAAATCCTTAGCGTTATACAGGGAAATCATCATATAGCCTCACCTTCATTTCTAATAGCTAATTAATGGGCTCTGAATAGTCATTTAATTCCATTTGATGTTGGCACCAGCAAAAACATGAAGCAAGAAATATTTTAAAATGATTGATCTAAAAAGTTTGTATTTCAGAGGCATAAAGGTGACAAGTGTAATTTATAGTATTATGATTTATCCACACACACAGCTGATGATGCAATAGATCAAAAACACAAAAGGCTGTTCTGAAGTAAGATTTATCTTAAGTGAATTTTCATGTGTAAAACTCACAACCCCTTATCAATTCTTTGTTCTTACCATTAATAATAGTTGAACATTAACAATAAGCAGAAAGCTAAAGCCAAACAAAATGTTAGGCTATAAGGGCTATCAACGGTGTATAATTCAAATTACGGGATGTTATGTAGTTTTACAGTATATACGCCAGTAAGGATTCCTTCTTCAGAATACTGTGCACAATTTTGGTCACCACTTGACAAAAAAGATATTGCTGTTCTGGAATCAGCCCAGAGAACAGCAACCAGAAACATTCTGGGGCTCAAGGCAAATGTCCTGTATTAATATCACTGAGGGAACAAAGCAGCGAAGACTAAGATGGGACCTGATACAAGTATTCAAAATGTTGTTGAAGCTGATACACTGGCTTCTTTCAAGAAACAGATAGATGAGATCCTGGGATCAATAAACTACTGACTACCAGATAGGCCAAATGGTCTTATCTTCTTAAGAACCTTATTTTGGCCTACGTCTGTCAGAATCCGTTAAGAAAACACTCTTTCATTGTGATTGAAATTACTTCACTGTAATTCATTTGCCTACTGCACTGGTGGATGGATTGCCAACCAAGACAAATCCTAGCACACGCAATAGAAAAGTGTCCATAAATTGGTTTGATTTAAACAAAAAAAAAATACACTCCCATAATCTGACATTGTGAAATTCCACTTAACAGAAACAGGCCTCTCAGTAGAGGACCGTAGGAAGCAGAAGTATGTGTATGTGGGCCTTGGTGCCTGTTGTTAAAATGCATCTAAACTAACGGTCCTGGGCTTGGACAGTTTGTCCACCAGGCCCTGGCCCATTTTGGCAGCAAACAACGAAATGAGTGGATTGCAGCCCGACTTCACAGCCAAGTCATAAACCGTCAGACCCTTGTCGTTCTTCTTCCTGATGCTGGCGTTACATCTGAAAGACACACAAACAGTCTGATCACATGCAAACCAGCAAGACCCAGACAGTGGCCTTTCTCTTGAATACACTCATACCCTGGTATAAGAACGTTTGGTATCCGAATTTTCACAAATCCGAACATGAAGAATTGATAATTTGTAATTCGTTACAAGAACAACATTTTGCTAATCTGAATTTTGAAGTTCGAAAGTAACTGATTTTGGCCAAGAATCTCCTGCGAATTCAGCGCCAACGAACAGCTGCTTGTTTCTGAGCGGGCGCAAGGCATTGTGGTTGAGGACGCCGTGAGGGAGCAGTGCTTTGTTTTACGATACCAGCGAAAGCTTATGCTCTCATTTTCAAAGTGTTTGTTTTGTAGTTGCTGTTCATTATGGGCCCTAAGGAAGAGAAAAGATTCTTTAGCGTGATAATTGACAACGGTATGCACATCGTTCTAGCCGATCGCTTCGATAGCGGTCTATTACGAAAGAATGAAAAATGTAAATATGATGTCAATTATTTTACTGCTATAGTTGGCTTTTTTGAGTAGAACTGCATTGTTCAATAAGGTTCCTATAACGCTCTGTATGATATTATATATTTAGGGTGGTTTTTGAATGAACTTGTCTTCGGTTCAGAACGGGGTGGAATTTTCCCCATAAGAAATAAGGGAATCTTTATTTTCAGTTTACTCCCGCCTTCCGAACATGAGTATGAGTGTACTGCAGTATTGCAGTGAGTTTAAGTGGTGGGTTTTCCCTTAATCTCACTGTGCTCTACTACAGACACGAAACAACCTACTCTGTTACTGATGCTGCTTAGTTTTTACTTGCAAGCTGGATAATCCCTGCAAAAGGCACTTCTCGAAGGCGTTCTACAGGCAGTACAAGGTTCTCACTGAACTCGACTTCGGCTCTGGAAGGACACAGACGAGCCAGACAGGCGGTTCTCACCCCAGCAGTGTCTCGGCGCACTGCAGCCCCTGGTTCCCCAGAGCAGCCACCTCGTGCAGGGCTGTGTTGTTCACCCTGTGTAGCATAGGATAATAGTGACACACAATGTGAAAATAGTCCATAACGGCTTCTGTAGATTATTTGCACCACAGATCTGGGTGTCACTGGCTCAGCAGAGTGATGATAATTATCCCTTTTTCAGTACGTTAATGGGCATCACTTAAAATAGAATAGAGCCTTAACTGCCTTAACATTAAGCGTTACTCACGGTCCCGACTGCTGGTCAATGTCGGCTCCTTTGTGAACCAGTACAGGGATAGCCTCATGGTGCCCACCCAGCACAGCCACAGTGAGAGCTGGGCGCCCGTCGCTGTTCAGATGGTTCGGGTCAGCGCCCTACAAGGAAAAGACATGAGGTTTCTGCACAGGTCTGACCTGCAGGCTGTGGGCAGTGCTCTGAGGACACCTCCATCCTGTCGTGGACACGCTTCCTGAGAAGCCCAGGCCTCAAGCATTACAGCCTTAGGAACGTCCCAGAAACCTCTGCTCTCAGGCAGACGAAGCACAGCTCTGCCCTTTGATTCTGCCTCCTGAACAGAGAGCACCATGGGGTATCTAAATCTACTCTGAACAAACTGCAGTATGTCCAAAATTCAGCAGCCAGAATCCTGACCAGGTCTAGTGCAAGTGTTCACATTACTCCTATCCTGGAGTCCTTGCACTGGCTTCTGGTCAAATTCCGTGTAGACTTTAAAATCCTCATGCTCACCTATGAGGCTCTGCATGGCTTGGCACCTAAGTACCTGTCTGAACTTTTATCGCCCTACTCGCAACCTCGCAACCTTCGCTCTTCTAATTCTGCTCTCCTCACTGTCCCCCAAGCCCGTCTACATTGTATGGGTGACAGGCCCTTCTCCTGTTATGCCCCCAAGCTCTGGAACTCTCTGCCCAAGAATATCAGAGAGTCACTTTCTCTAAGCTACTTCAAATCCAGACTCAAAACCCTCTTCTTCAGAAAAGCCTTTACTTAACTGGTTCCATTCTTCACCCCTCTGCTTTTCTTAGTACCACCATCACGGTCTCCTCTATATATTGTAATTGTGTTTTATTTTGTGTATTCTTCTTATTTATGGTTGTTGTCATCCTTGTTGTTGTAAAGCGCTTTGAGAAGCCACCTTTAAAGGCGCTATATCAAATAAAGTTTATTATTATTATTATTATTATTATTATTATAAAGCCTAGAGAGGATAGTAAAGCAGGATAGAATCTATACCAACCACGGTAAGTCTTTCACAAGGAAAATCATTTTTAAGATCTCAAAATATAGCAAAAACATCTTTCTCCTGCCCAGAAACACGCAAGCTACAATGGGCAGGAGCCCCTGTGAGGCAGGAGTGGACAGTACGCTGCTGCAGGTCTGCTTTGACACAGGGGGCATGCTAGCACGCGGCCTCTCACTCTCACCTCATCCAGTAGCTGCTGCACCACGGAAATCCGGCCTCTCCCCTGGGGCCCCAGCTCCTGCAGCAGCTGCCTGTCCCGGGACTGCGAGGAGACAAGGAGATAAGACTCAGACCCCAAACCACCCCCCTGTTGTCCCAATGGAGGCAATGCATGAGAGACACACAGGCTGTGAGGTGGGTAAGGGAATGACACAGTTCTCCAACTTGCTTTCTGTTCTAGGTTTAGGAAGCAAAGGGAGAATGTAAAGTTATTACAGCCCCTCGCCTATATTCAGCAGGTTTGTAGCCAACATGCCTTGCGAAAACAACTTACTGGTACACTGTCCTGCGTCTCCAAGGGCTTTCTTTTCTTCTTTTTGGATTTCTTGGGAACTGCAGCAAACAGGACATTGTTTTCACTTCCTGCAAACACGCAGAAAACAGACTTACAGACATTTGTCCATCCTGCGTACGGAGCACACAGACATCACAAAGATTTCAAATGAGGTCGCTTTAGACCCCAGTGACCCAAGCTAACACAAGCCAACTAATGTCAGTTCAGTGCCTCACGTCCTGAACACCCCGAGCAGAAACATCTCCTCACCTAGGCTGGCCTGGCTGCCCGACAGGCTGCTCCTCCCCTCCGTCACGCTGCTCAGCAGGTTGTTCCCGGACGGCCTGAACGGATTGCCTGTGAGGCCGTGCTGGCAGGAGGGAAGGAGCGACATGAGTACCAGTCTCCCGTCTCCCGTCTCACAGCCAGACCGTTTGGCTGACGCACATTCAAATACAAATGTGTTAAATTGTACTGCATTTTACAACTTTCTGGGGTTTCCAGCCAGATCCCCGTCTCTACTGCCTCTCATTCCAAATGAGTTCTAAACAGATTATTTAATTGAAAACGCAGCTAGACAACTACAATACCTTATTATCTGATAGTGCATGGCTAGCATTTAAAAACCCTAATCTACACTACTTTGTGTGCAATACCAGTAATTCTATTGACAGTATTAGTGCTAATAGGATGAAAACTGATTTACAGACCTTGTCTCCTGCCAGAACGAAATTGATTCTCAGACTGACTTCGTAGTTGTCTTCCTGTATAACAGCTGAGATCATCTGTGAATTATCAGAATGGAATTTTGTGGGAAAACTTCAGCCATCAATATAAAAAGAGTTAACCTCTTTCTATACAAACAATAACATATCCTAGAAACATCATGCAAGAACACAACCCTTGAGAAATACTAAAGTAAAAAGAACTTAAAAAACACCGATCCTAACAAACTGCACAACCGCTTACTGAGGATCAGTATTCAGTCAAAGTTGAAAAATAGATGAGGCTTCCATTGCACAAGAATTCGATCCATTTCAGGTGTTACAGATTTCAAGATCTGCAGCAGGCTGATGTCAGCAGGCAAGATGACAGCTCATGATATTTGTGTCGTGTTAAATATTTAAAAATGCTTCTTTACTGCTTCAGTAAAACTTGAAAGAGACCTTAATCCCTGTCCAGTATGGCAATGGCAGGAGTATGTTACACTTCTGCTTCTCACCAGCAGACACTGGGAAGTCTGATAGGAACATACATGGAGCAGAGTACTGGCAAATCTTAGAGGAAAATCTGCTTTGGATCTAAAACTGACAAAAAAAAACACTTTTTAGTAGGACAGCGATCCAAAGCACAAGCCTAATGCTACACTGGAGTGCAGTGTCCTGGAGTGTCCAAGTCAAAGTTCTGACTTGAATCCTACCGAGACTCTGTGGGATCACCTGAAAACTCCCAAAGCAACCTGAGAGATCTTGAGCAAATCTCTCGAGAAGAATGTGCAGGGATTGCACCAAGTGCTTGTCCATTTGCTAGTGGAGAGTTACCCAAAATTACAGTAAGCTGTAAATGCAGCCACAGGTGCTTCCACCATACACTTCACAGATCTGAATATGTATGCAATCAACATAGTTTACTTTTTTCTCCAGTTTTGCTGTCACTTATTCTTCACCTTGAAAGTATTAAGCATTAAGTATAAGCATTAAGATTTGAGTATAATATTAAGATAAAAAAATATATATACATCATTTTGTAATTTCAATTCAAAATGAGACACTATAGAAAGTGTCTTACTACTTTTGAGCAAAACACTGTAATACTATGTACTGATTCCATCTTGTATGTGAGAGTGATCATTGGACTCTTGTTGATCTGGATAATCTGGATCTTGTATCTCCTTTAGATGTCAGATAGAATCCACTGTTTCATCTTAGTGCTGCTTAGTTCTGCAATTTCCCTCACGGGTTCAATAAAGTATCTATCTGTTTGCTTTAGCACATGTATCTGAATCAAGATTTTGTAAAATCACACTCAGATCTGACTTAACCTTCTTACAAGATTATAAACTAACCAATTAATCAAATAAATGTATGACCTTCCCCATCCGGGGCTCGCCGATCAGGGCTCGGAATTCGGTGTTGTTCTGCGTGTAGCTCCGGAGGTGGGCGCAGATGTGATCCAGCTGTTTCCTCCAGTACCCTGAAGGGGCAGAGGAGAGCTGAGTCAGTAAGACGTGGCCTCGTGTCGGGGGTCAGCGTGTCTGACCCTGAGCCCGAGCCCCTGACCAGCACCAGCTCTACCTCTGCCGGGGCTGACGGCCGTGAGCAAGGGTTTGCGGTCCCTCATCTGCTCCTGCTTCTCCAGCTGCTGGGCCACCTGCTGCTCCTTCTTCTGCAGCTCGGTGCTGGACGGGTAGAACAGCCCGACTGTCTGGGTCTGCCGGTCCACTCTCTGGGTCTGCTCTGCCCAGGGCTGTGGCAGGGACAGGGAGAGGGGCTGCCAGGTGGCGTCCTGCGCCTGCATTGAGCGGATCTGCGAGGACATGGGTGAGCACAGGTGGGCAAAGGTGGGCACACATGAGCAGTGGTGAGCACAGGTGTGTTATGAAATTGAAAAACATTTTAAATTGAAAAGCAGACAAAGCCCTTCAAAAGCAGCATTTCATGATTAAACAATACAAAAAATCCTAAACAAATATAGATAATTTCATGCACCCAGCTGACTAGACATATTCAATGGGAACTAACAATGAAGTCACACATTACTCCATGTATAATTACATTGGTATTATTTTTCCACCTCTGGAATAATAATTATTGGAATTGAAAGTATTATCACCTACTGCAACATTACACAGCAAATAGTAATTTAAAGTACACTGGGAAATATTACTAAATGCTCTTGGGAATCTGCTGTATTTCAGGCACACATAAGCCTGTCTGAACACACGGACAGACCTGGTCTGGGTCTAGAGCTGACCAGGACATGCTGGCGCGAGAGTCTGGTCTGGGGGGGGCCTCCAGGTACACCCCACAGGAGCCACAGAAGTTGGCATAGGGGTGACTGCTTGCCCCACACCGAGAACAGGTCACGTAGCTCACTGGCTGCGCAGGCTGGTGACCAAAGAGACAGACACGTCAACAGGACAGGCTCTTAAAGGAAGGGGCTGATTTCACAGGCTGGTGAGCCACAGTTATCTTTTCAGAGAGCAGCACATGCAGTATGGCAATCTCTCAGAGAGCAGAACCTGCACATTTATGTTAATGAAGGCTGTCCTCCAGCGACAAGGTTCTAAAAATGCATGCAATTGAAAAGAATAAATGAAATCGGTCTGTGCAGCCCCCCCAAAAATTACATTTTAAATGACAATAACAATTTCCTGTCTTCAGTAATAACAAAATCAAAGTGCAGAAATCAAAACAGAAGGTTCCTACATGTAGAACCTACACCGTACATCTTACCTGACAGAACCATGAAACAAAAAAATGACAAATGGGGGCTTTCTGGTTTAAGTACAGATGAAGGTTGCCCACCTTGGCGCCACACCAGTCACAGAAACGGGCATCTGATGTGTTGACTCTCCCACATTTGGAGCAGGAGAGCATCTTGCCATCAGAAATGGGCACAGGTGTTGCACTCTGCCCGCCAAAGACAGCCTACACATTGAACAAGGCATGCAGTCAGACCAGTGTGTTTAACACTTTAAACAGCTGAAGACATCCGCGGGCAAGCAGGACGGTACATTTCTGCAACACTGTGTGTTACTCCATAGAACAAGTCAGAAATGAGCACTGTGATATTTAGAGCTCTGTGTAACCTGGACATCTTCGTCTCTTACATTGAGCACAGTGATGTTCAGAGCTGTGTGTAACCTGGGCCGCTTCATCTCTTACACCGAGGAGAGTGATGTTCAGAGCTCTGTGTAACCTAGGCCGCTTCATCTCTTTTACACTGAGCACAGTGATGTTCAGAGCTCTGTGTAACCTGGGCCTCTTAATCTCTTACACTGAGCACTGTGATGTTCAGAGCTGTGTGTAACCTTCATCTCTTACACTGAGCACTATGATGTTCAGAGCTCTGTGTAACCTGGGTCTCTTCAGTCACTTACATTCAGAGATTCAGGCAGCTTGGTCTCACAGGTGACGCAGTGACTGATGTGCACTGGGTTGCCTGTCCCACACACCTGACATATGAGCTTGTCCTAAAACAGCAGGGGACAGCAGAAGACAGGCTCAAGGTCAACAGGCTAGTATTTCCTCTTAAGTCAGCAAGCACAAAAGCACTGTTCATAGGTCAACATTTCATGAGTTGGCAAAGAAGGAACTTTCTTTCTCTATTAGAAACAAATAACATCCTTCCTGAAGCACAACCCCTTACAATGAAACTATGTGTACTACAGCATACGTATCTGCATTCTGTTCTGTTCATACAATGAAAATGAACACAGTAACTGCTGTAGATATTTGGGATACACAAGATCACAGAAAATGTCCCTGTCTGTTTGCTCTGGGGTAGCATGAGACATGTAGAAAGAAATTAAGTTTCAAATTCCACTGCTATTGACAGCCACCCGAACCCTGTCAGAGATTTCAGTAGCTGTCAGGCCAGAGCGTAACCACAACAACAGCGCCTCCCTCTAGCTGCACCTGGAGCCTGATGCCGGCCTGGGCCTGCAGCTGCGGGGCCAGAGGAGCCTCACAGATGACGCAGGTGGAGGTGTTCAAGGGCACCATTGTTTTGCAGTGGACACACATCACCATCTGTGGAAAAAAGACAAGTGAGACCAGACTAACACTGTAACTGAGCGCAATATACAATTACTGTAACAGGTCCCTGTGACACTGGCTATTCATGTTTATTTTTATAATATACAATTATCTTTTTTTATTATTCTGGGAGAGAACTAGACACCCAGTCACCCGCCTACAGAGCCTACAGCCTACAGCACCTGACACAATCCTCCCTACAGGTGTTCCAGCAACACCTGGTGGAGCACTGACATCACTGCAGCCCTGCAGGAGTCTAGCAGGTCACAAGGGGGCCCTATCTGCCCTAAAGCTGACAGAACCAATAGTATGCTGTCAAAAACACTCCTTGTATTGGTATTCATAAAGGGTAGTTTCTCACAATTCTTATTTATAGGAATTTCCACAGAAAACCCTACTCGACAGGCAGAGGAATAAAACATAGAGGGCAAAACTTCGAACTGCTTAATAACCTAACAAAATGACCATGCGGCTACAGGACAGGTCCAGGTTCAGGGTTCTCTGACCCTCTAGAAGCCACACAGCACTGATGAGGTTCAGCCCCAGTGGTGCTTCAGTGTTCCTGAGTCATCCCCACAGTACCTGTCCTCCTTCTGGGGGGGGCAGTCGTTGGCCCGGCACTGGGGGCACAGGGGCGCCGCACTGCAGGCAGAAACGGGCAAAGGGGTCCGAGGGGCGAGGAGAAAGGCACTGGGCACACCTACAGGGACACCAGTGGACAGTACCGCATTGTCACTGGGGCAGTGCTGGAGAACACCACAGTAAACAGGCAGCTATTATCTGGCTGCTGAAAATCCCAAAACTATCCTGACTGGGATGTCCAACTGACCCATCATTTGAGTTGAAAGACCAACAAGTTAAAGTCACCAGCCCCAGGGCTCAGACACGAGTAAACACACAGAGGAGGGATTTACAGCACAACTCCAGATGCAGCGCTCTCACCTAAGGAAGTCTGTTTCTCTTTGGATTCGGGACATCTGGGTGCTAGTCAGACTTTTCCGGGGATTGTCTACAGATTCCTCTGCCTGAAACGACAGGAGAAGATACTTCTGGCTGCCCCGAGGTGACAGCTATCACTTCAGACAGCAGGAGGCCACACCAGACCTTCAACCCACCCGCCACTCAGATGTTCAGAACCCCCTTGTTAGTCCATTTTGATCGGCGTCTATTCATTTACTAGAACCTGTCTGCCAAATCAAATTAAAGAGTCTATAGGCATGAGTTACACATCAGTAGCCCCTGCAGCACAGCCAATAACAACAGGATCTCAGTCTGATGTCTCAGCTGAAGGAGAACAAGGAGAACAATTTCACACAAGGTGACACAAAGCAAAACGGGAGGCACATCGAAGGTCTGAACTGTGGACCCAGTGGTACAAAGGCTTTAACTGCTGTCCCAGATGGTGCCTGCTGTACCTGTAGCCGGTGAGAGGACAGGGCGGAGACAGGCTCTGAGCCTGGCCAGAGGGGACCCAGGCGAGTGGTCAGGTAGTGGGGTCCCTTGGGAGGCTTGTGGGAGAGGCGGCCCTGGATCTTCACAGCTGAGAGACATTGAAGGATGAGTCAGCTGAAGAGCAGATCAAAGAGTTCACTGGAAACCCATCACAACATGTGTCATCACAGCCTGGGTGCTACAAGACTGACAGTATGCTGAGTCTGAGTCTTAGTGCTGCACTGTAACGCTCACACATTCAATGTAAATCTGGAAACGACTACAGATGAATGGCTTTCTGGCTATGTAAAAATGCATGCCAACCCCACAACAATCTTCTTAATTAGCATGTCTGTTGCAAACACAGGCTTTAAAATTGCTGTTTAGATCAGTGGATTTGTGATACAGATCACTGTGACAAGTCCTGTAGTGTGTGTGTGTGTCTGTCCACCTGCTGATCTGTCCACCTGTGTATCTGTCTGCCCACTGATCTGTCCACCTGTGTATCTGTCTGCCGATTGATCTGTCCAGAGAGGAACAAGGATTAGTGGACATGGCCTCCTTCAAGAGTGATTGTGACCAGGTTCTTAGGCATCTTGAAGCAGTCTCTCCGGGAGGCACAGCAGCTTCTCGTCCACTCTGCCTGAAACCTCAAACACACCTTGGAGCTTCTGTGCCGTCTCCTCCCAGGCGCTGCCTGCTGCTCTTCTCCCGCCCGGAAAGAAAGCGCTTCCTTCCAGGGATTCCTGCAGGTGGAAAGGCATTGAGAGTGTGGTGAGACCAGCACGGCTGTGCACTGCAGCAGCAACAAAGACCTGAGCCCTGGTCTCACTGATTCACCCTGCCAGGACCAGAGAACTTCACTCTGAGCACACTCGAGCATCAGCAGCATCAGCAGGTCTGTGTCTAAGAGCCTCGCTGGAGCGAGTTGTGACGGGTGAGACTTCGCTTGCCTTGCGGGCAGTGTCCCGGGCTGTGTCGCGGGCAGTGTCTCGGGTCGTGTCCCAGGCAGTGTCGCGGGCCGTGTCCTGGGTGTACTCTTCAAGAAAGTTGTCTTTATCATCTTCAAGTAAGGCTGGGTCATCAGGAGGAGGAAGATACTCTACCAGGAAGAACTTGGTGACGACTGCACTCTCCCTGCCATCCCTGAAACACAACGAGAACACGCCGTCATCAGCACCGCTGTACGTGCAGGGCTGAGGAAGCTCAGCTTCTTGGTGACACCACGGTGATCAGATGCCCCTGAAACAAACTGCACACACAAGACATAACAAAAATATTCTACTTGGAAACACAAAACTTTGTCAAATTCAGCACTTAACTAAAAATCTGAAAGCAGCAAAGCAAAGTTTTACATGTTAGCCTTCAGAAGGCTGGTATTTAAATTGCAAAAAGCTGCTGCAGAGAGAGTCTGTAAGAGTGTCTGAAGGCTCTGGACACCTCAGTGACACAGGTACATTCTAACTGCACTCTACAGAAGCTGGAAACTTCAAATCAGGGTGTCCACATTGAGCCTCCTGCACCTTTGCTAACTTCTTTGACTAATGCCCAGTCCTTGCTTGTTGCAATCAACCACTTTCAGGCTGCTAGTTAACAGCTGATCCTCCTTTGTTTTCTAACATCATTATCTCCCGGGATATACGCAGGGCAAGGCCAGGTCAGTGCTAGGATGGGAGGTATCAGGATCAAGCTGTTACTGGAGGTGTCGACCAGTAGGTGGCGCTATTTCCTCTTTTCTCTCTGAATCAGGATTTCTAAACCAAACTCCCTGGTTCGGTGGGAGGGGGCCAGAAGCACCCTGGACCTTCCTTTGCGACCCACCTGCTAACAGCGAGTGCTTTCACCGTTACCTTACCCTCAGGTAAGGCTACGGGCCCCCGGTACCGCAGTGTGCTGCTCTCTCCAAACCCCGGCTTCTTCAGCACCTCCGGTTTACTGCCGTCCAGGGTGAAGAAAATACTGACGTCTGGGGTGTCTGTGAAGGAGACACACCAGCCTAGTCCCTCATATTCCCCTCGTCGCGTAGAGAAAGCCCTGAATCCCATTTGCCATCCCTTCCCTGCAGAGAGTTACAGGTCCGCTGGCCAGCACTGCCTCTGCACATGGCCTGCAACTCCAGCTGAGGAAGTTCCATTGAATTGGATCAATTCGTTTTGAAACTGATTGGTTTGTTTTAGTGGGAGAGTGACCGACTGACATGTGGAGGATATCCTTATATAAAGGTCAGTTTCTACAAGGTACAGCATTATTATCTACCTGAGAAAAAAATTGCACAACATTATCAGGACATCACTGCAGCCTCTGGCATTTCCAGTGACTTGAATAACATGCTGGAGGATGTTCAGCAAGACAAGCAAAATCCCAGAAAACACAGCAGCTCCCCGGCAGGACGTCGATGGTTCCACGATGAAGACTTTGGACCTGGTGCTCCTGGCTCTTACCTGACTTGATCTCCACGGGTGTGTTGGTGTCTATCTGGTGCTTGGCCTTGCCAGGCAGGGGAATTCTGATGGGAATGATCTGAGGTGCCACGATCGAGCCTGCCGTCATGTTCACTCAAGAAAACGACAGCTCTGTCGAACTGAGCCTGGAAAAGTAGAAGTCCAGTCAAATATAGATGCATAGTTTTCATGCACTCAGCAGACAGTGACGCAGAACAGTATATGTCTATAATACAGCGTCTCATTTGTGATCACTCATGACTACAGGGCAGGTCTGGTTTTTCATCTATTTTCCATGCAGAAGGATCCATTCTCTCATTTTCGGAAAACTGCTTCTGGTGAGAGCAAGGCTAGTACCCCTTTTCCCAGGCCAGTAGAGGTGCTGAACCAGATCCCAGGCATGAACTGCTCTTGTCCTGCTCCAGAAAAACACAACTCTCTCCACAGAAACCCAGACACCCCCTCCAAACCCCGTACCCGAACCTCTCCACTAGCTGTGCCTGGGTATCCTGCCCAGGATCAGAACTGGACAGAACACGCCCTGCAGCCAGCGCAGCAGGAAGGTGTGTCTGCATCCCAGAGGACAGCCGGAGAGAGGAAAAGCTCATCCGGACAGTGAAGCCGGAATGTTGACCTCCGTCCTGCAGCCCCCACAGGGTGGGGGTCACAGCCTGGAGTCACAACCTGGAGCGCCAGCCCAGCCTGCACCCCTCCGGCCTGGTGCTCTTGAGCCAGGATCTGACCCTGGGCTGCATTACACAACACTCTCGGACCACGCATTGAGCAGTCCTTTACATGCACATGCAGTGTGGGGCTCCTGAGGGCGGATAGAGCAGCTGTAGGATATTCTACCTGCTGATCAAAGCGATTGGCTGTTTTGTCCTTTCTTTTTAAATAAACCATTTGAACCAAAACGTTCCAAACCTATGATTTAATGCAATTCATTTATATGACCGGCACACTCAAGGCAGCATGAAGGAGGCAGATATTTACCATGTATGATTGAAAACTACTCACAAGTTACTCAGGTCTAGATCGCTCTGTGTAATAACAATAAGAACAACAATAATAATAATCCACTGGAACCAGTATCAGTACAGAAAACAACATCTTGCTACACAAAGGGTCCAAAAGGATCGTTCAACACAGGAAGAGACCCATCACGCCCCTCACTGAGTTCAGCTACCGAATTAATGAGAGCGTGAGGGTTGTGAGACTGTGAAGACCCAGAGCGGAACTTAGCCCGAACCTGAGGGTTACAGCCCTGCTCTTACACACAGCGCTGGAATCTGTCATGAACAAATGAACAAGCAGTCAGGACTTCACTCAACGTCACACAACGGGACACGCAATTAAAGACCTCTTTTTCTGATCTTAAGGCTATTTAAAAAGAACTGTAATTGGAAAACTGTCGGGCTACCTCTGAATCAGTTTCCGATCAATTTTAAGCGTACAAGAAACACGACAAGTGTGCATTCTTGTTCCAATTACCAGCTGAAGGCGAAACAAATCCTGGATATGGATTTAAGGTGATTTCACGATCTTTCCATTCGTCCCCCGCACGAACTGCGATGATGTATATTTTAAAATCCCAAGAAAAAATAAATTGTATCTATTTAATTTAATATCTGCACATATACAATCAATCAATGACCGGACTGTGCAGTCGTGCTCCGCACCAGAATTGCGTGCAACCAGCTACGCTACGGTAACCAACACAACAGCGCAGCTCAGAATCCCATTGGAGGACAGCTTGGCCCCTAGCAACCAGCGGACCAATGGCTGCTAAAACAGCAAAGCTCGGACACCTAATGTAAAAGCTGCATTCACATGGAGTGGAAACCTATAATAATAATTGCTTACACTTATATAGCGCTTTTCTGGACACTCCACTCAAAGCTGTTTACAGGTAATGGGGAGTTCCCTCCCCCACCTGGATGATGCGACTGCAGCCATAGTGCGCCAGAACGCTCCCCACACACCAGCTATCAGTGGGGAGGAGAGCAGAGTAATGAAGCCAATTCATAGATGGGGATTATTAGGAGGCCATGATTGGTAAAGGCCAATTGGAAATTTGGCCAGGACGCCAGGGTTACACCCCTACTCTTTTCTAGAAACGCCCTGGGATTTTTAATGACTACAGAGAGTCAGGACCTCGGTTTTACGTCTCATCCGAAGGACGGCACCTGTTTACAGTATAGTGTCCCTGTCACTATACTGGGGCATTAGGACCCACATAGACCACAGGGTGAGCGCCCCCTGTTGGCACCACTAACACCTCTTCCAGGAGGTACTGACCAGGCTCACACCTGCTGAGCTTCAGTGGGTTTCCAGTTGTGAGTTGCAGGGTGATCTGGCTGCTGGCTATTGAAACCTATTCTTGAGACTAATAACACAAATATCATCTTTAAATCACTAATTAAGCCGATTAAACCTAAAGATCAATTTAAAAACATATATTCTAAAAATCCATTTAAATGAAATATCTGTTTTACAAACGTAAAGTACATCACGTATATACAATTGTATTACAATTCAATTATGTCTGGGTGTTTAAATAGTCTTAATTTCTCGTGCACTTCAACATAAAATAAAAAAATATTTGAAAGATTTCCTACGCGGTATAGGCTTTTTAACTTCACGTTTTGGTCAGGCACTCAGAGAGACTACTAAAACTGCGACACGAGGTAGAAGGACCCCAACCTTTTCGGAAATGCAGCATGGTTACCACTTAGAGAAGCTGTGTTGACATAGAGGTGGTGTTCCGGAGTTCATCGTGAATTAGGGATTACTGGATAGTTCAGTTGTGTTCTTCTGTCAGTTGAACATGGCAGAAGTTAAAGTAAAACAAGAATCTGCGGATCCCGTGGACATTGAAAACAGGTTAGGTTTGTCTTCTTTTAACCGTATGTCAACACGAAGTTAACAAGACAAAAACGCTCAAGAAACGTTACACACCGTCTCCGACAAAAAAAAAAATATTTAGGCTGTTACGTTGATTAATAAAGTGTTCAAGTCACGTGGTTTTGCATAGCGCCATTTCACCTTAGAATTAGATTATTTTAAAAATTGAAGTTCGCTGGAGCTGAAAGTGTCGCGATATTCTTAAATGCAGCGACCTTTGTAACTCGTGCAGTTTTGAAGATACAAGTTACAATAAGACAGTTCACGAACGAGAGGTCATGGGCTCTGTGTAGATCGTTAGGATAATGGATTTGATCGATTTTAGGAACTCGTCCAATAGTTTCTGAGAGCAGGGAAGGCTATGCGTTTCAACAGTAGATTAGTTTAGGTCTCCTTTTATATGACGTGTACCGAGTTGTTGTAATGTCTTGCTGGGTTCTGCTTGTCTAAGTGTTGGATAATTTGTCCAAACCAAAACTTTGTATGCAGTCCTTCAAGGAGCTTTAAATACGGCGTGTTGTACATTAAACACGTAGAGGACAACTGAGAAATGAGAGCATGAGAACCTGGATAACTGACCCTCAGTCATTCCCGACTTCCAGAATAAAGGAGCTGTGCCAGCAGTTCCCGCACGGAATTACAGACCAGGTGATCCAGAACGACATGCCGCATGTGGAGCCACAGCAGCGGGCCATGGCCATCAACAGGCTGCTCTCCATGGTACATCCCGCAAACCCTCTTTCATTGCTGTCAGCACACTAGCTAGCGCTGCGCTCCTGTCAGGGACTGGGGAGACCACGCTGGTTTAGAGGAAGAGGAATGGTTTGTTTCCAAACTATTTTCCATTTCATTCATTAGTTACTCATTTATTTTAATGTACAATGGTTGGTATTTGGCAGATTATTAAGATTCCTTTAAACATCTTTTTATAATCTCCTGTTATTGGAACATTGTGATAACTATTCAGTTATTATGTGGGGATCGTAAACTGAGCCTTCTCCTTCTTTCTTTTCACCTAATACTGCTGTTCTCAGACAATTGAAAGACAGAGGACCTAAAATTGTACATTCAATGCAGGAAATTAATAATTGACACACAGGGAAACAAATCTAAGGAGTTTATTCCATGCTGAGAAGCTGCTTGATATCTGTTTATTGGATGATAAATATGTAAGATTTGTCTCTTGTATCTTTCAGGGTCAGCTGGACCTCCTGAGAAACAGCAATGGTCTTCTGTACAGGCTGAAAGACGCACAGGTGGCCAGGTGCTCATACCTTTTACCTCAACACCATTGGACGTGACAGACCCTGCTTTGATTGAACTAAAATTGGAGATGAGCAGTTTTTCTGTAGAAAGCTGAAGTTGTATTCCAGTCTGAGAGGGTGACATTTTGGCGCTGTACTGCTCTGCCATAGAAGGACTTCTTTGTGCACACAGAAATTATTTCTAAGCAGTTATATATTTCTTCAACTGTGTGGTATTTAGTGTAATCACTGTAACATGACTCAAAAATGACAGTTGTCCAGTAGGGTAAAAATGTTTCTCATGATTATGTGGCAGTGTTCAAGAGGCTCGACAAACTAAGTGAACCACAGATTTTCTGCCACCTTAGAGTCTGCCTAGAGCTGTAGTGACCTTCAGTCAAGGAAATAGGTCTTATGCATGCAAGCTGAATTTGTGATTCTCTTTGTAATGTAAGGTGGTCAGCATTGTATAATGTCTTCTCAGTGAGTTTAAAGAAAATGCACCGTCTGTCTGTACTTACACTGATGGACACCTATATCTTAACATTTTGCATTTGGTTATATGATTAAATTGAATATCAGTTCATCATCATTCATGTACTCCTGTGTACTAGTGATTTAAATCACATGCTAGTGATTTAAAGTGAAATGTACTCTTTTCACCAGTAAGATGAAGGGCTCAGACAACCAGGAGAAGCTGGTGTATCAGGTCATAGAGGATGCCGGAAACAAAGGTGAGCTTTCTGGTGTGGAAATCAAAATCTGCTCATTTGCACATGTGCTTCACCACATTAACGGTAACACTGCTGCACTGCTGTCTACAGGGTAGCTGTAGACGTTACATTAATTATCTGTGTAGGAGATGAAGACATGAGAGAACAGGAGGTTAAGAAACTGTAATAACCTCTTCATATGGAGAAGTTGTTTGCCTTGAGCCGTTTGTTTTCCAATCACTTCTTCAGATTGACATCAGAAGTTTGTTCAGCTCAAAGCCACTGCCTACCTGTCAAAATCCTTAATATGTCCCATCATTATCATTGAACGTCATAGTCTGACTTAGTTATCTAGAGCACAAATGAAACTGGAGCACTGAGGCCGCGAGTGGGGTAGCATTGCTTCACAGTTCTGAGTGAATCGGTGGGCTGCACTACTGCTGTTCTTTGAAAGTAAACGAGTACAATGCTTCAGTTTCATTGGTTCATATTTGCAGACCTCCATGGACCTGAGTTTGTCATATATTTTCAGTGTGTTTTTTGCATTGCATTATTAATAATCTTTGGTTAAAGAGAATCACAGAGAACACACCTTTAGTAAGATTACACGTATTAAAACTGTTACACAGCTTGTCTATATTCATTGCCACTTAGAAGCTTCACCTCCTCAGGTCTCTGAAGCTTAGCAGGGCTGGAGCAGGTCAGGTAGTACTGGGATGGGGCACACTAGGATATTCAGGTTTCTGACAGAAGTAACTCTGGGGCACTACCAGGAGGCACTAATTCATCACAAACAGAAAATCCAAACCAGTAGCTCAGCATGGCTGATGTCCTTAGTACTATACGTGCACTGTTGGGCTCTTTGAAAAGAACTAATAACTAAAACTGTTTTATTATTTACCAACATGCCCAGTGTCTTCATTAAAGATAGATCTTTAACTCAAAGATATTTCTAGTGGAAAGGAATTTTGATTACAGTGGTCTTTGTAACATTAATTTGTATTATAAACACATTAATCTTTCCCTTGACTTTGGCAGGAATCTGGAGCAGGGATATCCGGTACAAAAGCAACCTCCCTCTGACGGAGATTAACAAGATCTTGAAGAACCTGGAGAGCAAAAAGCTCATCAAGGCTGTGAAGTCAGTGGCTGTGAGTGGACTCTTCTGGATCATCTTTGGGCCAGGTTTCTCTCACTGCCCAGGGCAGTTCTCTGAAGAAGGGCTGGACAGTTCTTGACAGTTCTTTTTCTTGAGGTCTTCTAGTTTGTTTATGTAAACAAAGTTTAGTAATGTGTTGGTCATTAATTGGTTAAATAGTCAAAAGATTATTGTAATATAAGTGGGTGAGAATGATCATGTGTTCCAGGTGTTCAATGGTGCAGTGCTGCTGCATGCAGTCTCCTCCATTTGTACACAGCATTGAAGTAATGCAGTTTACTGATTGATTGATGCTCTTGTGAATTCCAGGCCTCTAAGAAGAAGGTGTACATGCTGTACAACCTTCAGCCAGATCGCTCAGTGACAGGAGGGGCATGGTACAGTGACCAGGACTTTGAGTCTGAGTTTGTGGAAGTACTGAATCAGCAGTGCTTTAAATTCCTGCAGAGCAAGGTAAGAAAAAAAAAATACCGCTGGGAGCTATGAGCCTGAAACTGTGCCTAAATCCCAGAATATCAGTCGCTGTCCAACATTCGACAAGCACTCTCTCGGTACTGCACACAGATTGACTGAGAGGTGCAGGGGTTGAGTAGCTGTGAAATCAGCCATGGCTTCCTCAGCCTGCCTCATCAGTCTGCTCTGAGCTGGCAGTGTTATCAACCAACAAGAGTAAATCGAGTTGACTTACAGTTGGCAATTGCAAAACTCCAGAGACCATAGTGTGAATCCCATGACCAAAATCCCCCATTCTACATTGGAAGACAAAAACTGTAGTTGTGTAACTGTGACCCAGAGACTCAGAGACTCATTGGCTTTGGTGATTTGCTGACACAGCTGGGATCTTTAAACAGAAAGTAGCAGTCTGCTGTGAGCTGGCAGTGTTATCAGTGAGGTGCATCGGGGCTTCATTGCACCCCTAGGTCTCTGTGTTGTATTGTGTAGTATTGTTGTGCTGTATTCACTGTGTGAAACAGAGGATGACAATGAGGTCATTAGAGGTTTGATTATGGAGTCTTCACCTCACGTAAATCGAATTGACTTACACTTGGCAATTGCAAAATTGGGGTTGCAGAAATAAATAAAAAAAACTCCACAGGCCACAGTGTGAGTTTCATGACCAAAATCCCCCCATTCGAGCACAACTACATTGGAATAACAAAATTGCAGTTGTATAACTGTCCCCAGCGAGCTCATTGGCTTCACAGCTGGGTTCTTTAAAGAGAAGATTCACTTCTTAACGCTGGTGTCCCTCTGTAGGCGGAGGCAGCCAGGGACAGCAAGCAGAGCCCCATGGTGCAGAGAAACAGCTCCTTCGCCTCTTCCCACGAGGTGTGGAAGTACATCTGTGAGCTGGGCATCAGCAAGGTGAGGCAGTATCCGTCACGGACACAGGAAGCAGGTCTGTCTGAGCTGTGCTCATGGATTCTTGGTGTTTGGTTGGGTTCTTAACAAAACTTCCACTACACAACCCATTGGTATGAACAACAGTTAATGTGGCCTTTTCATAGTATCTGCTGCCTTGCCCTCTTTCTCCGTCACTATAAAAATACGGCAACTCCTCCATTAGTCCTTATGTGCTGTTGCTACAGTCCAACTCTGGGTTTTTAGATTCCTGGGGAGGCTCTTCCTTATTGAATGGATCTTATTATTTGGTTAAAGAAAAACATCCACAACTGCTAGTTTTCCATGCAACTGCTTGTTCGGCAGGTGGAGCTATCGATGGAGGATATCGAGACCATCTTGAACACGCTGATCTATGATGGGAAGGTGGAGATGACCATCATCGCGGCCAAAGAGGGCACTGTGGGCAGTGTGGATGGACAGATGAAGCTCTACAGAGGGGTGAATCCCATCATCCAGCCCACAGGCCTGGTGAAGACGCCCTGTGGCGTGTGTCCTGTGAGCCCCTGTTATTTACTCGTGTTTTGGTTACATCTCATTTTGGGCCATGTGATATTAACCCCCATAAATCACCAACTGTGGGTGCTGGGATGACCAGTAAAGTTGGCACCCGTACAAACAGCACAGTGAAACCCACCATGCTCGTTTGCACTGCTGAAAGTACTATTTGTGTTGCTTACGTTCCTGAGACACAGCCGGGGAGTCACGTGACTTGTTGCCGTTGTCGGAGGCCAATTTGCCAGAGCTGCCTGTGCACCCCTGGGGTAACGTGTGACGCATCGTGGAAGATTGTGCAGATATTTCTAGATTTTTAGCCACGGTATTGGTTTCTGATGCTCTTTGCCGGGGAACCGTTTCTTCTCTCTGAGGACATGCAGCTGCAGTTTGGGTCAATATTCTGATTTAAACTGAGCCTTAACTTAACCACTCTTCTGAAAGATAATGTAACCTAATGTCCACAAAACATCTCTTTATCAGAAAGCCGCTGGTGTCTGGTGTCATGGCAAGCCAGAGCCTGTCCCAGGGGACACCACACCTGTCACACAAGTAGTCCTTTATACTGAGAATTTTGAGGGATTTTATACGAGTATCCTTCTAGATTTAGTGTACGTGACCCTTACAGCTTGCTTCCTCTTGCATGCTGTGTGTGGTTTATAACAATGTAATACCAGCACCTTCGGTTCATTTCTTGAGCCTTAATGAGATCCATGTACGAAGCCCACGGGATTTGTGACCGATTAGCTTTTAGGTTTCAACTCTCAGAAAAGAACATTTTGAATGATAGAAAAGTGTAGAATCCTTACAGATGTCTTTTAAAGCTACATTAATTTTGTAGTTTTGGTTACATTGTAAAAATGGGTATTTTTTTCATCTAGAAGAATCTACTAATTTCCCCATGCTACTAGTTGGGTGAGCAGTTCAAAGCTCAGACCTGAAGTGAGTGAAATCCTTTTTCTTGAAGGTATTTGATGACTGCCATCCGGGAGGCGAGATCTCGCCCTCTAACTGCATCTACATGACCGAGTGGCTGGAGTTCTGACTGGGCTCCCATGTGTTCTGGATTCTGGACTCTTCCGCGTGCCGGACTTTGCCACAGGGGTCGTTGCAAGATCGCCAACTTTAATTTGGTCTAAAGAGAGAGACCGAAGTGATGGCAGCAGTTTTGTTTTATTTAACCTGCAGCAAAAATATTTTATTTTGTCAAAATTATTTATATCTCCTAAAATAAAAAAGTAACTGCCACAACACTGTACCAAATACACCCGTAGGGAGATCTAAAGTTTTTCTTTCTCCTTTGGACCTGTGATGTGTGCTGCAGTGTTTCAATAGTATTGCAATTTCAACTACACCACCTCGCAGCTGTATCCCAGTATCTGCACTTACAGCTCAGTATGGGGACAGTCCTGTGTAAAAGAGTCTGTGGATACCAGTGGTGTAGCCCAGCAGTGAATCCACCTATGTGGCCTCATAGGAGACCTGGACAGCACCACCCACCTGTCCACCTGTCGTCACTGGTGCTGCCTCCTCTGCACAGCACAGTGCTTTGTGAGCAGAGCCACACAGTGCTGGGACTCCAGCTGCCCGCGTCTTGGACGTGTCGCTCATCTGGTTGTGTTGTAAGGTTGTTTTATTTTTTGATGGATTCTAGATATTTTAATACATCAGCTGTACAGGAAAGACCAGAGTGTTTAACAGAAATTAAGAGTTTCTGCATCACGATGCAGGGCAGCCTTTTAAATGGTAAAGTCCTGTCATGTGAATGGCGAAACACAAGCACCTTTAGTATAAATAAATGTGTATATAACGAACCTGTATATCTGTCTCAGTTTGTCATTTCTGTGTGAGGTTTGGTGTTGAACTGACTCGCTAAGAGGCACCAGTCCTGGGCTCAATGTCCTACATTGCCAAACTATTTCCGAGTCTTTTTCCCATTTGCTCCGGGGCGGTACAAGTCGAGGTTGTGAAGGCTCGGTTTGCTGGGTGAGAGCAGGACTCCGAGAGCGAGCTGTGCTTGCCGGGGGGCTCCTCCTCCTCACACTCCCACATGGATGCTGAGAATGGCGCTGACGAGCTCCGGGAAGTGCAAGCTCTGGAAGTGCCCGCGGTCAGAGTACTTGTGCAGCTGCGAGCCCAGCCCGTCCGCCACAGCCTGCTGCTCGCTCCAGGGGAGGAAGGGGTCATCGGCGGAGCCGAACTGCACGATGTGCCTGCAGTTGGCCTTGATCTCCTCCCACAGCCAGGGACGGTTGAAGTAGCCTGAGGGAGAACAGCAGAGGGGTGTTAAGATCCAGCCCTGAGCAACTACATCAACAATCAGGCATCCTGTATGAAAGGATCATACTGAGTTGGATGCTGCATCACTGCCATGGATCCAAGAGGGACATCGTGGATAAAGCTATTGTTTAGGAGGAATTTACTGGTCTACAGAGATCTGCACACAGAAGACATGATGGCTGGATGGATTAATACCCTCATCCTTTCCTTTTTTAAATTATATAATGTTAGCATGCCCAGAGCGGTTGGGCAACCAGTTGACCTTGGACCCCTAGAGGTTTTTTCTCTCCTTACTAAGGAGGTTTTGGTTCCTCTCCTCCGTTGTCTTCTGGTCTTCTGTTCCATATTGACAAAATGTATCGTCAATTGTATTAAGTGCCTTGGGGAAACCTTGTTGTGAAAGACGCTATATAAAAATAAACTGAATTGAAAGGATCGGGCTTTATTCTCCACCTCCGTGTGTAACTGACAGTCTGTGAACAGTGCGTACCGTACAGACAGGAGTTGTGTTTACAGACAGCGGCAGCCTTTTTCACTGTAATTGCATGAAAAATCTTCTAGTACTTACACTACACATGTTGTTTAGCACATTGCATATCCCTAGTGAAAAATATCTTCTAGCACTCAGTCATGAGGAATTGTGCACACACAGAAGAATGAGTCTTGAGTGAGAGCCAAAACCCAGCATATCGCTACTGAGATGTCAACAGGACACCTAGCGTGTTTCCAGGGTTGGCTCTAGGCACAGGAGAACTAGGCAACTGCCCAGGGGCCCCTAGAGGTTTTTTATAAGCACATTCAAATGTAGAGAAAAATTCCCTGTAGCGGCTCTTCCTGTTTCCACTGTAGGCCGTCCTAATGGAAGGCCAATCAAAAAACGACCAATTATAATCGAGTATGTAATTTGTTTTTGCAGTGCAGAAAAGAAGAGCGGGATAAAAGCTCTCAAAATAGAGGTCAGAGTGATAATGCATTTGTTTTTCATTTGGATTTGAGTCTGTCAGATCCATGTCACTAGCGAAAGGTAGACGAGCCACATTTTCAAGCTACACGCGTAGCCTTCTGGAGGTGTTTTACTAGAAGTTAACAAATTCATGTTTCCTGCAATTGTACACATGCCATGTGGGTTGCCACTGCCACTGGCACTGGCCAACAAACAAAAGTGTGAAAACAAATGTAGAGTACAAAGACTGCTCAGCAATTATGTGTAATTGGCATTAAAACACTGTTTTTTTCCTTGCAGTTTCTCCTGTATTTCAATGAATGGGGGTACAGTGAACTCAGCCTGTATGTAGCCCTTGGGGTTACAGTCGCTCTCCCAGTGATAGTGCCAGGAGCAGAGAGGACGTTCTGAAGCACAAGCTGATTAAAACACAGCTGAGGTCAGCCCTGGCACCAGTGTGTCTCAATGGACTGGCCATCATGAGCATCAATCATGCAGGGAGTCAACCACTACTGTATGAAGACCTAACTGGTGATTCTATTGATCTATTGATTGTTATTTATTATTAATGGTTCTACTTTTTACAGTCAACATTGAAATATATTGTCTTAGTAAAATTTGTGCTTTTAATACTGTGCTAGTTGATATGTTTTCTAGTTAAATAATTCTTTTTTTAAATTGTTCTAAATAGCAAAATGAGGTTGTGTTGGGAGTTGATAACAGCAGTGTCTCTGCAAATCGTGACGTGGAGAGCCCCTTTCCAAGATCTTGCCTAGAGACCCCAAGAAAGGGCCAGCCCTGTGTGTCACTGTTGTTCTGGAGGCTCCACACTGGCCTTTACTGACAAGCCAGAGGTGTCAAGACAACTAAGGCTAGATTATTCTTCTCAAATTAGATGCACCTAAAAACTTATAAAATGCTGATTGGGTAGCACAATCCCCTTTTACTTTTTACACTCTCTCGTGGGATAGCCCCTGTTATGGAAATCCCTGCCTATACAACACACTCACCACTCTCCTGCTCGTTTTCATCACCCAGGTCCGAGGTGTAGGCGCCCACCAGCACAAGAGCATACACCTTGTGTGTCTCTGCGTACCTGTGCCGAGAAACAGCCGCTTCACGTGAATCAAGGACACAGAACTCCTGTGCTGGAAAACCCAGTAGGATATTTCCTACCTAGTAGGTGTCGAATGGGTGTTTATTACAGCACCTGACTGTCTGACAAACAGCTGTCTTCCACTTACTAGAATCCCATTTTCAATAAGCTTTTAATTAAGAAGATCCCATTTAAGTAACAGCAGATTTGGAAGTGTCTTTGACTTTCTTTCTCTGTGTGGACTCCACACTGGGCACCAACCTCATGGCGGCCGCAGCCCCAGAGCTGTGTCCGATGATCACCGTGTCCTGGTCGCACTGCAGCTCCTGCTCCATGAAGGGCAGCCACACGCTCTCCCGGGCTGTGACTGCAGGGAGAGGACGACACGCCGCTGAGTCTCACACAAGATGTGAACTGTTGGATTAGAATCGCTTACTGGACCCTGATAGTCAGGTTGGTGAGAGTCGCTCTGGGCTCTATGTCCACAGGTTTGACAGTTGCTCTGGGATGTGTCCAGGTGCGTGGGACAGTCGCTCTGTGCTGCATGTCCAGGTGTGGGACAGTCAGCTCTGGGCTGTGTGTCCAGGCATGTGGGACAGTCGCTCTGGGGTGTGTCTAGGCATGTGGGACAGTCGCTATGGGCTCTATGTCCACAGGTTAGACAGTTGCTCTGGGCTGTGTCCAGGCATGTGGGACAGTCGCTCTGGCCTGCGTGTCCAGGCATGCGACAGTCGCTCTGGGCTGTGTCTAGGCATGTTGGACAGTCCCTCTGGGTTGCATGTCCAGGCATGTGGGACAGTCCAGTCACTCTGGGCTGCGTGTCCAGGCATGTGGGACAGTCTGCTCAAACCTGGATTTCATGGTGCACTTGGCAGTTCTAATAAAAATGAAGATCTTGTTCTTAACTGTGGAAACCTGGCCTATCCAGAGAAAGTGCAGTAAACAAGCACAGGTGCAGTTTTTTAGATGGACTGACAGATTTCCGATAATGAAAAGACTTCGGACTTACTGGGATCAGGCATGTTTCTAAGCAAACACGACATGTCTGGAATCTGCAACGGGAAAATCGCCAAGCGTTAGAATTTTTTAATTACAGTGATATTTCTGATTTTCTGCAAACAACCCAGATCATTTGGTCGTCTCGCACTGAATTTCGCTGCAGCTGGGATGAGCCGAGCATGTGGTAGTAGTGCAATGACGAAACAGAAAACTGCTTTCTGAAATGATTTTCATAAAATATTCACTGCTGAAAGGATTCCACGTAGGATTTATTTTGGATGGGTCTGTGTAAAGGAAACGGGAGACAGGAATGAGACGCATTGCTGGAGACGGCAGTAAGGCTGGAGCTCTCCTGCCCTGCTGCTCAGACTGCGCCACGTCGGCGGTGAAAGAGCTCCCGCGACAGACATCTTATTTACCTTATTCAGCTCTTTTTTCACCCAGCCGTACCAGTTGCAGTGTTCCACATCCCCAGCGCCGTTCCCGGGTACAATAACAGCCTTATTTGGGGGCATTTTCGTCTCGTTTCTTTCGTTTTCTGAAAACACTGGGTTCGGTTTTCTTAGCCGTCCCGCACAAGCTCCGATGAGTGATGCACCATGGGCGTTGTAGTTTTTGCCCAGCGAATAAACAGTCGAACAGCAAGCATGTCTAACGGAAGTGATTGTCGACGCGTTTAAATCAGGCATCGCATAAATGTAGTGGAAGATAGTTACAACATTTTAACTTAAACGCAATTTTAGAAATTTAAACGGATATTGACTCTAGAATTACAAGCAGAGAGTCGTATAAAATAAAACATGCAATGAGACAGCTTTGTATTTAACTTCAGAAGAGGCCAGAAGCTCACTCAAGATTATTCTCGGGCAGACCATGAAGACGTGTTCATACTGTAGATGTCTGTCTGCATTTAGTCATGGGTGGCATATGCCTGCCAAAGCACATGTCCTTCAGTCATGTTACACTCTTATTAAACTCCTCCTCGCTTCCCATTCCTCCCAGTCCTATAACTATAACTATACCTTCTTTTGAGTGTCTTGTTTTAAATGTTTCTATCCCCCAATCTACTATTATTGCCACAGTTTACAGACTACCCAAACCCAGTGGAGTCTTCTCAGGTGAGTTTGCTGATTTTCTCTCATTCTTATCCCTTAAGTTTAAAAGGATCCTTATTCTAGGGGACTTTAATATACACATTGATTCAACCTCTTCCAGTCT